CAAAAACTTCTGGGGGAAATCCGAGTTGCCAACTCTCCTGTCCTATGAGACCCATAAACTAATAAATAATAAAAGCACAGCTTTTAAACGAGCACGTAAAAAGGTGTTTTGTTTTTTTTAAATAGCTTCTCCAAGAGGCCTGAGACATAGAAGAAACATAGAAACAGAGTGAGTCAGAAGGGGTCTCCCGGGCCATCTAGTCTGACCCCTGGCTCCAGCCGGCTCCACTCACGACATGCCCACCATGTGCATGTCCAGCCTATCCTTGAACACCCGCACTGATGGGGCCTCAACGACCTCTCGTGGAAGCCCATTCCACGCCATCGGGGTCCCGACTGTCAGGAAGTGCTTCCTGGCATTCAAACTGAACCTCGGTTCCCTGAGCTTTGCTCTGTTGGAACGCGTCCTTCCCGCTCCACAGGAGAAAACAAGTCTCTGCCCACCTCCGTGTGATACCCCCTGTATGTTGCCAGCAGATCTCCTCTGAGTCTCCTCTTCTCCAGGCTGAAGAGACCCAGCTCCCTCAGTCTCGCCTCATACGGCATCCCCTGCAAACCAGCCACCGACCTTGTGGCCCTTCGCTGCACTGACTCTAACCTGGCTATATCCTTCCTACAACGAGGGGCTCAAAACTGAGCACAATTCTCCAGCTGCTGGATTTGTGCTGGATCACAGGAAAGACCCATCTAGGCTTTTGGTGCTCCAGTGCCCAAGCCGATGCCACACTGGGACACCCACAAGTGGCCTATGCGCTCCACAGCACCCTCTAATCCATGCTCCCCAGCAGCTGAAGTACACAGCCACACGGCCTCTGATTCTGGAAGCCCCCGAGAGCCATCCAGCTCCCCTGCTTTCCGATTCACAATGTCAGCGCAACACGGAGGGCAGGTCCAAGGAGATGCGCCAAACCAGAGATGAGCAAAGCTGGAGCTGCGCGTCTGAGGCAGTTAACCAGCAACAGGCACGCCTGCTCTCCCGACAAGCCTATTCCACTGAGATTGCAGTCGCTATGAAGCGCTAATGAGTGCTTAACTACTGGAATATTTAATTAAAAAAAAAAAGGAGAGGGGCTGCGAGCTGCTGCTAATTAACAGAAAATTGGTAATTTCCTAGCTATTAACGGCTTATTTTCCACTCATCTGAACACAGGCAAGGAACCAAAGCTATACCATAAATAGGAAACATGTTCCGTCAACAAGGGAAGCGTCCGTCTCGTGCTGTGGGGCTTCTCTGATTTATCGATGGAGAAGGAGCGGCGGGCGGCCTCTGTCCTTCTCCCCGCTCTTCTCACAGCCTCTCTCAAATCCACCGGCTCCCTGGCCTCCTTTCACCCACATCCCGGTGCCGTGGGGAGCGGGACTCGCCCCGGCTAAGCAGAGCTCCCCCTTCCCTGCCAGGCCGAGGGCAACGCAGACCAGCCTTCCCCCGTGTCGGCTTTCCCACAAAAGTCTGCATATGGCTCAAGCGTGGGCACCGTTTTGCAATCTTCCGACCACCCGGAGGAATGGGTGCACCAGCTCAGGTTTCATCCATCCAGGGCCAGCCAGGATGGCGACGGCCGTCCCCCCCTATTCCACCCCAGCTTCTGCATGACCGCCCCCCACACGCACGCATCTCCAGAGGAGGGGATGTCTGGCAACACGGGTTTTATGCTAAAAATCTCGGTATTTTTGGCCTTGCCCACCACTGGAATGTGGCTCCCAAGTGCTTCTCCGGAACTGAATCCAGTCCCCAGGCCAGAAGAGTCTAGGCAACCTGATTTAGCACTGCTGCTGAGCAACCCAACAGCTGAGGCCCCTAAATTTCTCAATTAGGGTTGCAAGCAGAGGATTGGTGTAGTGGCAGGAAAAGGGGGAGCAATGAACCGGGCCTCCGAGATGGTTTCTCCCCGGGTTCTTCTCCGAATGACTGTTACGAACAAGCCTTCCCCGCTAGAAAGAGGCGCACTGGAGCCACGAGGATAGCAAGCCAAGGCTCCTTAACACTGAACAACCCACAGTTCACAACCCAGCACCAAACCATAGGCTCTCCTCCTGGGTTGTTCATGGCCAACGAACCGCAGCTTGCCATTGCAGCTGGGTTCAGACAACACAATAACCCACATTTCAACCGACCCATGGTTCAGTTATAACCCACATGCAACTCATACAGTTTAGCTATTGAACTATCTGAGCCAGTACTTATGTCATGGGTTCAGCTGAGATTGTCCTTCAGCCACCAAAAAATCGGAAGCAATTGCTCATGGCTGGAGAATACTTAGCGCTCCTGCAGTCAGACAGTAGGTGACTTGATGCAGTGAGCCAAACCACATGCTATATGGAAAGAGTAAAACAAAAAACACAAATGCACGCACAGACCAGGGTCATTAGGGAGATAAAATGTGCTTAATACACTAAAAACACAGACCTCCACGCATCCTGTGAAACCTACTCTGCTTACAGTCATGACCACTGCTAGGCATTTCATTCTTCACCTTCTGAAAGAGTCAAGTTTCTAGTCCTCTAGAATATTCAGAGTTAAAGCCGGCAGGGTTCTGATGGGGCTAACAACGGCAGGAGGCTTTTCGCAAAGCTCCTGCCACCCCGTTCCCCGCACGGACACAGTGCGCCAACGCTGGGTTGTTTTCCCCTCTGCCACACAGACACTGCCGACCCGAGGCTTGCCTGGCAGGGCCGGCGGGAGAACAGACATTTCCAACTGTGACAGCTCCCACTGCCCCACCGGAGGAGCCATGCCCGCTCCAAAGCGTGTCACTTTATTCCGCACTACCAGCCTGCCGCACGCCGACAGGAATTCCCCGGCCTCCCTCCTCACAGGGAGAACGGCGCTGCTGTTGGCAGCTTCCTTAAGAAGCGGCGGCCAGCAAAGCGTGTCCCGACCGCCTCTCCAGGGGTGCCCGAACACCGTTTCCGCCACAACCCACCGCCTCCAGCACATGCGCGCGCACAGAAATCTGCCTCTATGGCACAGCGAAGGATTCCGTGCTCCGCTCGACTGGGGGGAAGAGTGGCCTACGGAGAGCGCCAAGCACCCAGAGCCAGACGGGACCGGCCCAATATTCCCCGTTTCCTCCTGCTGCTACTCTGAGAAGGGCCCTCAGGATCTGCCCCAGCAAAGCAAAAAGCGCATGCATTCAAAAGGCAGGTGTGCATGACACGAGAGCTTCGCGGGCCGTGCAGGGAGCGCGAAACGAAGCCGGAACAGCCAGGCTCGATCACACCAATGGCTCTGCCAGCCCTGCGTCATTATGTGCAATCGGCTGCGTTTATATCTCAGCGTTTCCTGCACATACACAGCACGGTGCTGCTCTTCTCCGGTTCATCCACGCAACAACCCTGTGAGGTAGGTGAGGCCGAGTCTCTAACTGGCCCAGTCACACAGAGAGCCTCACAGCTGAGGAGGACTTGAACCCAGATCTCTTGAGCCCCAGTGCAACACTCTAAGCACTAGACTACACTGCCTCTCACACTGACCCTGCTTGACCTTCCTTTCTGTTCCCTCAACCCAGTTTCCTGTTTCGGTCTCATATTTCTCAAGCATTCAGGTGTGCGTCCTGTGCCTCCACCCCAACCTCTGCAAAGTCTTTTTTTAAAAAACTCAGCTAACTTTGAAGTTTCCCTAAACCTGCCGATGATGCCTCTGCTGCTCTGGAAGATGCTGCCGCCTTTGGCTAACTAAGGACTGATACTCAGAAAACGGAGATGGCAGAACGCTTCTTTGCAAGACTGTGCCTGGCACTGGGTGCTTTTCCAAAGTACCATAGTCAGCAGGGCCTTTTCAGCTCTGGCTCCCAGAATGAGCCTATTTTCCTGCCCCAGGAAGCTCTCTTACCTCTCCCGCTCTTGCTCTTGTTTCACTATCAACTTGCATTTAACCAGACCTCACCATCCTCGTGTTCTCCGGACAGGCTGGAGCAGAACCACCAGAATCCTCCAGCCTCGCTAAATACCATGCTGATTAAAATATTCTGCTGCGGTAGCTTTATCAGCTGCTGCCATTTTCATCTTTTAACATTGAGCAGGCTTTGCTTTAAACTGTAGGGGTGCTGAAGGAATTATTTAGCAGCAATGAGTACCCAGGAGAAAAAGCAAAATAATAAAGGTCTTAAAGTCAAACCAAGTTCTTTTTGCAAACCTATAAATACGCAACAACGAACGGATAAACGTCACTGAACTGCTTTCACAGATGTGCCCCAGTGGCAATGCCTGTCTTTGCATGGGCAGGACCTTTAGCAAAAGTTAAATGTTGAACAGACTGAGGATCTCTCACAAGCCACAGCTCTTTAGCACATCACGCAAACTCTGCATCCCTCGCGCGCTTTCGCTCTCCCCACTTCCCTTCACCCCTCACCCCTTCACAGAGCGGCCAAAGTGCCCAAAATTTGAAGCCGTGCTTCCCCACCACCCACAGGAAGAATTACTTTGTTGTGTAGAGAAGAGGGAAACTTAGTGTGTGTTCTGACTGGCAAGTGTTGAACCCCGAAGTTGTGTCTCTTCCCAGGATCGGAAGCGTGTCTAACACATTTGGCAACTGACTGCAGACCTCTAGTGGTCAACAGGCAAACCGCACGGTTTCCTACAGAGCCCAACCAGGTCCCATAGTTGGGGTATCAGTGAAACCCACAAGAGTTCAGATTTCCATGCATCTAACATGCTGATCTGGCAGGCTTTCCCCATGTTTGACGGATCCTGCAGATTTTTTAAACCCTTCGGCAATGTTACGCAAATGCCATCCCAGGAAAAGATAAAGCACCAGCCAAAAAGGCACATTTCCCACATGGACTAAAGGACAGAAATGTGCATTTTGGGGAGATGTGGGTATTTTGGGGACATCTGCTTGTTTCTGAAAACAAGAACTGTTGCAAGGTCAGCATTGCACAAATGGCTGCAAACGCATGTCTGTAAAAGCAGATTTTGTCCAAGAGGAGATGACAGATCGAAAGGCACCAGAAAATCTGCGTAATGCAGACAAAATGAAGTCTCACGATCCCTATGCCATACCTTTGACGAACAAGTCGGCACTGGTCTCCTCATCAGAGCCACTGTCCAGCTCAAAAAGGTCCTTAAACTCCCTCTTGTCATCTTCTTTCTGTTCACCGGGCTTCTTCCGTTTGATTTCAGGGAGATTCAGCTCTTCTAGCTGCCGATGGAAAACAGAAGGAAAAAAAAAGTAAACAAAACTCCACTGAAAGCCAATTCACCTTCCTCTTCTCCCATGGCAGCTTTGACATCACAATTTTTTTTAATATGGCTTTTCAGAAGGCATGAAGCCTAGGAGTTGAGAGAGAGGGAAAGGAACAGGCAAACCAGACGAGCAAGGTGAGCGGAGAGGTAGCAAATATCAGGTAAGGGACACCGAGTGCAGGTGAGCGCAAACTGACGTGCACGAGGAAAAACCACCTGAACGCCACATAGAGACGGATGCAGTCTGAACTGGAAAGGACTGCCAGGGGAAAACATGCTGGGAATGTGGTGAAAGTCCAAATATCCAACTCAGTGTAGTAGTGCAACAGTTAAAAAGGGCAAACTGAAGAATCCACGGACACAACTCTGATACCAAAAGGGGAGTATTCAGAAATAATTGTGATTCCATTTCATTCCCCAGGACACGCAAGTTCAGACCTGACCGAGGCCAAGGAATTTCAATGGGAGAGTTAGGTCAAGAAGTTTGAACCCGTTCATTCAGGCCTCAATCACAGCGACGGCTTCCTGTTCCACTACGCAGCAAAAGTGAACAACTTTACGCTTCTTAAGCCGGGCATGCATTTGTCACCTACGCTACTTTTTGCATTTCATTCCACTTGGCTCAACCTATACTGGGGTGCCAACTGGTCTACAGGCTGGTAGAAGCAGGATTGGGATGGGGAAAATTCAGCGACAGAAGTGAGGATTCGGCACTTTGAGGAATCCGGCCTAATGAAGCCCGCCAGGAGACCAAGAAGAAAAAACATTCCATCTTCTCATTCTGACCCTTGCGGTTTAAATCTCTGCAGTGTCCAAATCCATTCAAGGAAGGAAGGAGGGAAGGAAACATGGAACGGTGGGGAAAAGTGGGAGAAGGAGACAAGGGAAAGAGGAGTCAAGGGAAAGCATGCGCTTCCTTGATTTTCGGTGTGATGCATGCATTGCTCCCAGCAGAAGCCCCTTCCAGAAGAGGCATTTCCTTGTTGGTCCCACTGGGGGGGGGGGGGGGTTCTTCTTAGATGCAGCCTGCCTGCCACAGCATATTCAGGCTATTTTTTTAATAATACTGATCGCTGCGGCCTGAAATGTCCACAAGACCATCTCGAAGCGCTTCCACCCCAGCAAGCCTCGCTGAGGTCAGGGATGCAGCCCAGATGCCGAGCCCTTGCGTCCCGACACCTTGGTCCCGTACCCGCTCCTTGCCGCTGATTTCCAGCTGGATCTCTTTCTCTTTCAGTTTCTTCCAGTGCACATAATACTTCATCAGTGGCGTGCCTTCTTCTCTGACATTCTTCTCCCACTGCTCCTGTCAAGGGAGATAAAACCAGCATCAGCCACCACGAGATCCTCTTCACAAGGCTCACAATCACCTTGCAACCAGGCGAGGTCGGTGTTCCTGCACCCATTTTACAGGTAGAGCAACTGAGACAAGAAGAGCACATCTCAGTTCAAAGAACTCCAAGCACAGATTTGGTCACAGAACCTTTTGAGGGTCTTCCCAGATATATTATTTCTGGACACCCATGACTGGGTTTGCATCTTGTTCATGTATTAGGTGTCTAACCTGACCCATGAGCCACACGGCTCCCTTCACACGTGCCCGTAACTCACTTCTGCAGTTTTGGGCAAAGAATTCTCCCCTGGCCAGGTGCAGACCTGACAATGCTTTACCCTTAAATTGCAACTGTTATTAGAAGCTCAGGAACACCACAAGGGTTATCTGATATGGTTATTATATTTCTATACTGCCCAATAGCCAAAGCTCTCTGGGTGGTTCAGAATTAAAACCACAAAATACAAGCTGAGCAAGAATCATGTAAGGCTTTCAAACCAGAATTTATGAAAATAGTAACAGTGCTAACCAAAGCAACCTGGCAGCGATGCAAAGGTTTAAAATACTGTACTGAGTTTAGACTGGGCACCGAGAGAGGAAAATGCCTAGGTCCCTGCTTGACACTGGAAAGAGCACACTGCAGGCTGGGAAGCTCATCCTGGGACTGGGAGGGGCACGGCCAAACAGGCCTTTCTCCTGGTGGCCCCTTCCTTGGGAGGCGGCTCCTGGAGAAAGACCACTGAAGATGTTCCTTGTGTTCAAACAGGGGTCTCTGGGAGGAGGACTCCTTCAGGCAACCTCGGGAGACCTACAGCTGGGCTGAGCAGCTTCTGGCCCTCCCACACCAGCACAGCCCCTGGGAGAGCCGGTTGCCCAGCCCTGAGTCCCTTTCTGCCAGATGATCTAGCCAAATATTCTTGGTCCAACGGGCTGGAGCTTTCTCAGGTCTCGCGTCGAAACCTTTCCTGCCATCTCACTGGGCCCTTCAACAGAGGCCTTCTAAAAGTGAGGCAGCTGCTCCCGTGCAACCATGGTTAGGGGTTTTTTGCAAAACGGTAGCTTGCAAATGGTGATAACCAGAGTCGGCAACAACGACAACAAATAACACGCACCAGTGCGAGCTGAATGCTATGCACAAGTTACAGAAAGAGGGAAATGGCTTTGTGGGAAGAACCAATAAGCTCCCCCCTTGCTCTGGATTATTCGATTGTGGCTGGCTGAGGCAGCTTCCCACTGCACGAGGTCGAGCCTCGGCCCTCCGCCTGTACAATGGGAATAAGAGACCCCTGTGCCTTACAGAGTTGTGCTGTACAGCCTCTGAAAGCCCCAGAGAGCGTAAGGGATTCGCACAGTAACTTTTACTAATTTAGCCAAAAGCCAAAGGTGGCATTTCATCCAGTCCTCCTATTTTTCTCTGCACCCATCTGAACTCCTCCAACTCCCCAGGGATAACGACACGGAAAGGAAGGGGGTAAAGGGACTTACCACAGCATCCCGACTGGCGACACCGAAGGTGGCCTTCTGGCGCTTGGCAGTGATGTAGGCCGAGTTTTCCTGCAGCTTCTCCAAGAGCTGGCGGATTGTTTTGCAATAGTTGGCAACCTTGCACTCCTTTAGGAAAGACTTAAGCTGGAGACGGTGGTGGCAGCGGCGGGAGCAGGAAAGAAACGAGACAAGACAAAAATTCCATGAACAGGTCCCAATTTTTTTGCTTTGTTTCATTTGTTTTCAATTCTGACTCTATTCCTTACCATTTTTATTTCATGGATTTTAGGCACAGCCGAGAAAAGAGCAGGGAATGTGACAGTGAGAGGCCAACACTCAAGATCTGTGGCTCTAATTCCGGCATGACTGCTACAGTCTTTCTGGGCAGAAAAGGTTGGCTCGGAATGGCCTTCTAAATATTAGCCTTTTATCTGCACTTTTTTGGTAACTGTTGAAGAAATGAAAGCATCCGTGGAATCTTTGCAAACAGTCCCACAGGAATAAACACAAAAGATCTGTTTGATTGAGATGACTCCTTCTATGGTTCTACTTAATATTTAATCATCCTTAAGCTCGGAGGCTTGTAATGTCAGTTTCTGGGGACGAGAGATCCCACGAGGAGTCCTAACCTGAGTCCAGAAGGAACTGACCAAGACAAGTGGGCAAAACCACTCGGGGTAACTCTTTTGCACTGGCTGCCGCATTTACAGAATTCATGTAAAATATGTCCTCCCAGTTCTCCATCACTTCAGCCATCCGGTTATTTCTGTGGCAAGGTGAGCAAAGCCAAAAAAATTCCCCCTGTTGCAGAGATCTGATGGTGCAGTCGCAGATTGGGAAGACAGGCTGAGGGAAAACTAGGAGAACCGGTGACTGCTACCTTCTTGAGAAGGAAATGACCCTGCCTCTAGGCAGGGGACAAGATGTTGGTTTTATTCAATTTTATTAGCTTATCCAAACAAACCAGACCAAGGAAGGGGGAGGGTAGACCAATTCACCTAACACAGTAGTTTATTTTGAGTGAAATGGATGTGAGCTGCTCAGACAGCTTTGGTTATTGGGCAATATAGAAATGCAATCGATCGATCCACAATTCACCTTGCCACGTGTGGCCACCATTCTGGATAATACGCTGCCTCCAACTGGGTTGACTGGACATTGCACTGTGTTGTGGAAAACCACCATCATGACTTGGTCGAGGGTTAAACAACCCACCCCTAACCCGACTGCTAATCCAGGGTTAAGTGTGGGCTCTTTCGCCTTCAGTTAGTCCAATATGGACAATACATGCAGCCTCTGACTCGAGGTTGTATATCCAAAACGGTGGCTGCTCAAGCAATGCCGCCAATTGATTGATTAATCAACCAACCCACAATGATCTGCCATGTCACATGAATTCAGCTAGAGAGGCGGCAGCAAGGGAATTGCCACTTCCAATTCCAAACAGGCAGCCTTGACCGAGCGTCTCAGGCCGGCCTGCCTGCCTGGCTCTGCCCCTCCTCTCCCCCCGCTCTCGTTTCTCTCTGTTAGTCTGTCTTTTTTCCTCCCCGACAAAAGGCATGGCGAACAGGGTGCCGTTCACGCCGGAGGCTTTTAAGAGCCAGCCGGCTTGGCAGATCATTAAACAGGGGGAAAAAAAACCCCAGGCAGACGGCTGCTCTGAGTTTGGGGTTACGGCCAGGGAGGAAGAGCGTCAAACGTATTCCATGTGGCTTTAAAAAAAAATCTGTCCATTTGCTTCCTGCTTTCCAAGCAAGGAGCAGAGAGGATGTCTGTAAATGTTCACACTGGGGCCCGTTCACAGGCGAGCCGCCGAAGAAACCAGACCGAGCCAGGAGCCAACTGGCTCCGAGGAGCGAGCGGGAGGCACGCTGAGAGGGCAGGGTGAAGACGGGAAGGGACGCCGCAGCCCAGGGGCGCGTCTTCCACCGAGCGGGAAGGCTCTTCGCAGCGGCCTCGCCACCCGCCGCCCAGGGGGTGCAGCAGAGCCAAAGGCTGCGGGGCGATTTGAAAACGTGCAGCTGACTGAGTCTGCCTCACATGACACCCCTTCTGGGCGGCTGGCCCCCCGGGGTCAGTGCGTGGCCTGAACCTGGAGCAGTATCCACAGGGCCCCTCGATTTATGGGAACAGGGCCTGGCAACCCACAACTCGTTCCAGGGGTTATCATACCCATAACAGGTTGTTGTGCCATCCAAACCGGGGAGCCCAGCTTTATTCTGGGTTGAGGGATTGGCTAAGATCCGCTCCGCAGGCATGGCAAACCTCGCTCTCTGCCATCTTGCTCAGGCCACCTGCAGCCCCCCTCAAAAGCGATGCCCAGACCGTACCAGAGAGAGGGAGAGCCACTTGCTTGCCAGCTCCATTTTTATTTAGTCTCAGCAAGCTGCGAGTGCAAATGTTTACGTTGTACAAAACCCTCCTTTTACCGCCCAGCCTTTACATCTGTGTCAACTGCTCCTCCAATTACTTCCCTGCCTTGAAATTTGCACAAATATTTCTAACAGTAGAGGGGAAAAATATACCACTAACTGCTTTGAAAAGAGGGAATAAAAAGCAGGTATGTCCCCTTTCTGAATCTGCTGGAGACTTGGGGAAATACTTGAACGGAAGCAGGAGAGTAAAAAGGACACTCCAGAAGTAACAGAACTACCACGCTAATAGGGAGATTGCCCCCTTCTTCCTGGAGCACCTGTTTCTTCTGCTTCCCCGCCCACTTTTTTCCCCATAGCACTTTTTCCTGGTCCTTGGCAAGTGTGTGGAGGTTTGCCTATAGGTCCCTCAGCGTGTCAATTTCTTAGTATATTACCTAGTTCGCTTTGACAACAGAACTTACAAGGAGATTGATAAGGCAAGACTGCACACTCTGGAAAGCCTTAAGCAAGCACTTGCAAAACAACAACCAAAAAAATTAAAATACAAAGGCAAGGCCATAGACCATGAAGTACCTTTTTCCCCAAGACGTTAAAAAGTCCATCAAGCACCCAGACAAAGGTCTTTACCTGAAGGACAGCGGGAAGAGCCAATTCTGGAAAACCAATCATGTAGGCATGGCCATGGAGGTACTCCAAAATCAGGTCATAGAGCTGATCGATAAGACCATCCTGGCACACATATAAAGAGGCAAACAAATAATTAGTCCTTGAGAAAAAGGGTTAATGCTTAATGCAAAGCTCAGGTTCTGCACACAGAAGGTCCCCGAAGCAATTCATCCTCCCCTTCCTTCTCCTCAGCCCTGCCTGGCAGGGCTGGGAAATCTTCCCTCTGGACACCCTTAGAATTGTTGGCAGCTAAGTGCTAACAGTTCTGAGCCCCGCTTGGTGGGCAAACAAAGCCCTGTTTAGAAAGAGGCGGCAGGGCAGCAACACAGCACATGCTCCGAATGCCCCAAACCCCGGGTTCAAATCCCACCAAATCCAGATAAGGCCAGGAGAAAGCCCAGGAATGCTGCTGCCCGTTAGCAGACGGTACTTGAGTTAGATGCACTGAACTCAGCTTCCTGAGCCGCTGAGATGAAGAGAAGGTGAACCTGAAGCTCCGAGGAAGAGCTCTGGCCTATTACTTATTGTGGAGCCTTTCTATGCCACTGCATATAATAAAACCCCTAAAATAAACAGCTTAAACACACCCAAAGTGTGACTCAGGAACAGGCAGCTTCCTGGGTGTCTATGTAGTGTGTTGAAAGGGTGTTCAAGTAGGGAAAGGGACCTCTTTGGTTGTGGCACAGGAACTGGGTAACATTCTTCCAGGGCCCCGACTCCTACGTCGTTTAGCCCTAAAGAACGTTTTGTTCTTCTGAGCCTTTTTTAAAAAAAATCTCACTCTGGCATCACTTTTAATATAGTTCTAGATTACTTCATTCACTTCCAAAGTTCAGGCTGTGAGAGGCCTTGCTTGTGCACCCTGAGGGGGCTCAGGGAACACCAGGCGCGCCTAAGTACCAAAAAGGGGAGGGCCCTACAGGGAAGAAGGAACGGAAGTATCGGCACCCTACACTCCAATGGTCTCGGGAGATGTCCATCACCCGGTCCTCCAATAATACGCATTCCTCACCCCTGATCTTACCCGGAAAGCTTTTTCCTGCAGGTTGGCACTGGAAAGCTTCAAGATGACCGCGAAGTTCAGGGGCTTGGCACTCATCCGTCCAGGTTTCTTGTTGAAATTTACCTGCTGGAAAATCTGCAACGGACCAAGACGCATTTCCTGTCACTATAGCTCCAACTCTGCAGAGAGTGTTTTATACAGCAGTGGCGCAGAAAAGGAGTTTGGGGGGGGCATAATTTGGCCCTCCCAGCCCGCTTCCTCCCAGCCACTTCTCAGCTGGCGCTTCCCCAACTTTTGTGCCATTTCCCCCACATCCTTTAAGGCTGCGGTGCCTCTCCAAGGCGTGGGACCAGGAGCTTTCAGCTGAAATAGGACTAGCTGTTTTGGTCCTTGGTCCCCGCAAATCACTGGAATAGGCATCCACCAAGAATTTCTCCAAGACTGAATTAATACCTTGGGCTGGAGGTGGTGTTACATCCCATTACAGGGTGCCAGCAGCAAAAGCAGAGTCAGAAAGAATGAGGTCTCTGTTCCAAAGGAGCTTACAATATAAAATAGGAAAGCGGGAACACACAGGGCCAGGAGCTCCCTGCTTTTCAAGGAAGCCCTCTCCCAGCTAACTGAAACCATAACATTCGCCGAAATCTTGAAAAGCACATATTCTACTTTAAAAATCAAAGAAGTTGCCGCAGGAGCTTCAAAGCCACGCAAATATTACGATATATTAGATAAGAAGTTAAAATAGCAGCAGTTCCGCCATAGGACAGACAAACAGGAAATGCTGAGTCAAAAGCGAAGTTTTGCTTCATATTAGCCCTGTTCCCAGCCTAATGCTGGGAACAATAGATGGCAAAAGAAGAAGGGGACGGCAGAGAACGAGGTGGCTGGATGGAGTCACTGAAGCAGTTGGTGTGAGCTTGAGTGGACTCTGGAGGATGGTGGAGGACAGGAATATATACTTCTTATATATATATTTGCTTGGACTGGCTGTGAGTTGTTTTCTCTCAACTAAAACCTCAGTATTCAGGTTTGATTGCACTGTTGGCACTTTAAGATAAATAAGTGGGTTTTGGGTTGCAGTTTGGGCACTCGGTCTCTAAAAAGTTCGCCATCACTGACATAGGAGATCGTTGTGATAGGGGTTTCCAAGCTGCAAAGATAATTGTTCTCTTCCTATAATGCAATGGGCCAAAGCACTCACAACTCTTTCAATCCTGGGGCTGGGACCATACAGATGCCCCTGTAAACAGGAGCTATTTGTGCTGACGTTCTATCGCCAGAACTGTGAAATCCTTATTTTCATACGTCTGCACTGAAGTTGATATATTTTAATCTATACAGCCACGTTCCCCTTTTCTTTTTTCCTATTTTTCCTTCTGTTGATTTTTTAATACTAAAAAATAAGTTTTTAAGAAAGACCTGAAAAAATATTATTTGGACCATTTGGTCAGGTTTTGTTGAAGTTTCTTAGGCAACTGTATTTAAACATTTCGTACGTACTCAGTGAAAATGATATATTGACATTTGGCGACATTTCTTCTCTTCTTTTGTCCAAATGTTGCAATGAAAATAAATTAAAAATCATAATGTGTTATCCTTGCATTGATCGCTTGCATCGTTTGTTAATGCCTGTTTTATGATGGTCTGATTATATATTAATGAGCGCATGTGATCCAAACCCCTAATTCCAGGAAAGGAATGTCTTTCAGCAAACGTGTGCCTGAAACCATCCACCTGAGCTCACAAAACTAAATTTTACGGATCTCTGGCTCCTCACCTCCACCTGCTGCATGATGCTGATAGAATGCCATTTGATTGCTCCACTGTTCCTCCCTCCTTACCCCCATTCTGCGTCCCAAAGTCTCCCCTGGGAGTCTTAACAATGCAAGTCCCTCACATCCATCAACAACGAAGCTTCAGCTATTTAAAGTGTCAGCCGCGTGTGTCTTTCTAAGTGTCTCCCCGAACCTATCAGGAATAACCCTCTTTCCTTCCCACAACACCCTGGGGGAAAAGGAGACGGTTCTTAAATTGGCATGCCAGACTTGTCCCCCACGGAGGGGGGCGGGGGCGGGGAAGGCGATTTCCACATTATCTACCCACACTTCCAGCCTTCCAAGCGCCGGGACTGCATAAGGTTCCCGCTGCTGGAACGAAACCTTGTCAGTCCCCCACCCACGAGTAAGTTATAATAATCGAAATGCGGAGAAGGTAACTGAGATGATGGGGTACCGCCAGTGGAGCGGGAGCCAAAAAACCAAACGGAAGGAGGCCCCAAGCACAGGGCTCCATCCTGCCCCCTGCATCCCGCTCACCCCATTAGCCACGGTGCCGCCACCTTCTCCCGACCCGGCCCAGAGTCGGGGCCTGGCGCCCACCCCACCTTGACATGCGTCTCGCCCCTCTGGATCGGAGGAGGGGGAGAGGCCGCTGGGGGCAGATGCTCTCTGCGCCGGGGAAGCAGAAGCTGCTGTCAAGGCGCATCACGGATCGTGCTCTTCCTTCCAGTGGCAGAGGCCTGGGGAATTCCAGCACCTGGAGGGGCCGCACCAGACGCTCAAGCTGTCACCGCGACGGTGACAAGGGCAGAGGAAAGGGGAATTGGGGGAAGGGGGAAGAGCGGAGGAGAGGAAGGGGAGGGCCGGTTCTTTCAGTCGCTCAGGGTGCGCCTGCCGCAGGAAGGAGAGGAGAAGTGCCCGGGGCCCGATGCCCGGCTGAGTGTCTGTGCCCTCCACAAGACGGGCTGTGGGTACAAGGGAATGGTGTGCTGTTCCTATTATTTACGGGTGCAATCCCATGCACTTCTGGACACTTTTGGAAAGGTCCTACACTTCTTAGCGCTGCCCAGCCGATAGGACGGACGGGGGGATAAAGTGGAAGTAGGACTTTTCTTCTGTGTGTGTCTAGGATTGTGTCCCAGTTGTTAGGGAGAAAGGAGGGGGGTGACCCATACTTGATATGCCCTCTAATCTGCAGCTCTCTCAATTGGCGGATGGGGGCTTTAAGAACTGGAAGTGTCTAAATATCACGCCGCAGAAATAAGATGGGATCGCGCGCGTATTGGATGCATTCCAGGATCATGCTCAGGAATGGCAAAACATAAATCCTGAGAATGTGAGCATCCTAACAATACATTTTTAATGACATGCATTTTGATCACACAGCTAAGGTCATGTTTCTAGTCCTTATGGAGGTGAATATGGAGTCGGCAGCACACGGTGGAAATCTCACAACCCAGAGATGGCGATGAGGCTTAGGTGCAATCAACGTTCCTCTCAACCAGAACAGTCTGGGGTGAGTTGGTCTTGAGTGGACAATTAAGACCCACATGCTTTAGCAAAGATCTGCTCCTGATTTAAACTCCGAGGACTCCAGTGCTGCACTGATACAGATCCACGCAACTGCCTGAATTTTTGGGCTCTCCTGGGATGGTCATGACAAGCACCCCCACATCAAAATTCACCCCCCCCCCGCAACACACACACACACACAATGACCACTGGCTACCCAACCCTGCAAGAGGCACAGCTGATTGGAGGGCAAACTTTGTCACTCCAAGCTAGCTCTTTCTTAGCTGCCGGGCTTACTTTGAAGTAGGGATGCACAAGATTCATTGCCGAAGTACGTAAATGTTATGATCCCATGCCTTTTGCCTGCATGAATACTTTATTGCTATTTATGTTTATGTATTTTGCTTGGGGTTCTTCTTTAAAGTGTTGAAATGTGGTAGTTTCATTGCTGCTTAAACACACACACACACACACACACACCCCTTGTTTTTTTAAATGGTACTGCTAACCTCGCTGTGCTTGCTTCTTTGTACAAACACACCAAGCTGCTCAAGAGCCCTGATATCCTCCGCATAACTGTTAAACTAAACAAGCCAAACGATTCACGCCGCTGCCTCCCTCACAAGCTTGTTGTGAGAAGAGCCTGAGTGGGTGGACAGAGCAAGTCCTGAGTGCCACCCTGAGCTTCTTGGAGGGAGGGTGGAGGATTTTAAAAAGTCCATCCACACTGTTTTAATACAAAAATGGAGTGCTCTTGTGAGAAAGGAGAGATGCATCCACCGAAGCAGAAATGCTTAAGATGCATGCGTATTTCGAGCTGCTCGCACCCCGTACCATCTTTTTTTAAAAAGGGACACGCAACATGAACACGAACACGAACGAAGCACTCTGTCAGCCACGCAGGCTGCCCCCCCCCCCACTGCTGCTCCCCCTGCCCCAAGGTGGGTGAGCGTGCGCCCCGGCAGCATCGGATGTGGTCGGCGGCGGAAGCCGAGAGGAAAGGCTTGCCGAAACCGCCGGAACGGCTGGGCTGATACGGGCCGCCGCTGTTTTTTAATCTCCCGGAGGTTTAGAAAAGGGAAGGCACACAGCAAGCGAAGTGGGGGGGGAGTGGGGGCAGGCGGGTGAAAGGTGCTTTGTTGCTAAATGCGAACTGCAGAGCCCCACCAGAGCGCGAGCGGAGGAAGGAAGCAGGAGATGCATCCGTGTGCGTGCGTGCGGGGCGGGGCGGGGGGACTGCAGCTGAGAAGCCGCAAGGGCTCCGGGAGAGATGGAAGGGCTCGCCGGCTGCCACAGGGCCGGGAGGATGTGGTTTGCGAGCGGACGTTTGCAGCAGTATTAAAAAAAACCGCGGGAGCCCTTCTCACTTCCCTCCGATTAGCAGCGGGCCAAGGTGGCTTGGCCGATTCCCAAGCAGCGCCTCCCACCCCTCTTCCCTCCCCGGGTCACACCATCTGCCAGCTCCTCCTCGCTCTGCAGCCAGGCGGACCCGGGGCCTGGAGCTCCGGGGAAGAGCGAAGCAGGGGAGGGCAAGGGGAGCCCCCTGACACCCTCCTCTGGGCTGCGGCGCAGCGCAAGCAGCACCCCGGCTGCTCCTCACATGGGCTATGCAAGCTCCCCCCGCCCCCGATTCCACGTCCGACGGGGTTACGCAAGCCACCTCGAGTTCCCCGAAGAGGAAAAAAGACAGGATATAAATGCCCCGAGCAGGATGCGGCCAGGACAACGCATCTGGTGCTGGTGGGCCGGGTACCTCCGCAGAGCACAAAAGGTTGAAGCGGGGCACAGACATGGGACTTGAAGCCCGGGAGGCGAATCCAGGTCATGGGAATGCCCCAAGGGGGCCTTCCGGTTGCCAGGCTGGGGGCAGAAAATGAGCTTTGAGCAGGGCTGGGGAGTCGGGACCAGAACGCTGCAGGAAAACCCAAAAGCCAAAGACGGCGGCACGTTGTAGTGGGATGACCTCGCTGCCAGGAGGGGCACGGAGACTGGGCAGGGCCTCCCAAGGAGCGCCGGGGGGCCTGATCCGCCCTCCTGGACCGAGGGTTTCGACCACTGCAAGGTCCGTGAAGGCTGACCGGCGATGCAGCCTGCAGCTCCCTGCGGGGCGGAAGGACAGGCCAGGCCAGGCCCACGTCCAGGCGCCTCCCCACTTCAAGCTAGAGACGGACAGTGGCCCAAATCCAGTATCTAATTGCCAAGGTGCCGACATGGGGAGTTAGTGATACCTTATGGGGACATAATTTAGGGCAGGGGTCAGCGACCTGCGGCTCTGGAGCCACACGTGGCTCTTGAATCCCTCTGCTGCGGCTCCGTCGCTCACAGCTCCCGATCTGCTACACGTGGGGCACAGACCCCGATCTGCGACCCGCACCCGCACAGCACGGCCCCCGAACCCGCCGCACAGCCACAGGCTGGGCGGAGTTGAGGCTCAGAGCCAGCAAGGCGACCAGGCCCGAACAGGCGGAACTGCGACAGATCTGCATTCTTCCCACACTGATTCCCTGCCTCTATTTCCTTGCCCTTTTTTGATCGTGCTCCCTGCCACTGGATTTTAGACTGCGAGCTCCCTGGGGCAGAGACCTGTCCTCTTGTACCGCATAAGAGGGAGTACACACAAACAGGCAAGAAACTCACCTCCAAAATGAAGGGCAAGACAGGAATGAAGGTCCCGGTGCTGTCAGACAGCAGGGTGAGCGCCTGGACGCAGTGCAGGCGCAGAGGGTAGAAACGGGTTGTGGGCACCAACCTTGGAGGGAGAGGGAGAAATGGTGATTACACACGTGCAAGAATCCAGACTCGGCTCTGCCTTCAGAGGTGTCCTTCGCCAGAGCTAAAGTGATTTGTTTGGATCTAGACCCACATGCGGTTCTAGACTATCTGGACCCACATGTGGTTCTAGACTATCTGGACCCGCATTTGGTTCACCAAGTGGCCAACTAGCCTCCTGCAGGGAACCCACAATCAGGATGCGGACACACCCCCACAATCCCCCAGTGTAGTGCCTCCGATCCCCCAGTGTAGTGCCACCAGGACTAGAAGCTTTCTCCACAAATTTGCCCAGGCACCTTTTAAAGACGTCCAAACCAGCGGCCACCTCATGGAAGTGTATTCCGCCTTTTGAGAACGTGCTAGATAAGAATGGCTTCCTTTGATCTGTCCTGAATTTCTTGGCTGTCAGCTCTGTGGGAATTCAGACCCCTTCAGGTTTCAGTCTCATGCAGAGGGGGCAAAGGCCCCCTAACCACATTGTCCACAGCATGAAAGCTGCAGCCCTGAGCGAACGCTGGTGCAGTGACGAAGCCACATCAACAAAAAACGGTTGCTAATGAAAAGAAAAGCAGCACAGGAGGAACTTGTGTTTCTTCTTCTGTTGGAGGACCATTTTCACCCACATTAGCCTGCCCAGCCATTTAGATCAGCAAGAGACGCCCCTGCCTTTGCCCACCTGCTGGAGGAATCAGGCAGGCACCCACACAAGGCAGGGCCTTTTCTGCAGTGGCACCGCCCCATTATTATTCTTTCTTAATTTTACATCTCTGCAACCAGTTGCCTTTGTGGATCTGCCAGGCCCCATCACTGCAGCTTTTAGGAAGGTGCTGGAAATGGAAAGAACGTGTAATGGGAATGCTGCGGTTTATTTTCTGATGTACAAGTTCTTTTCCAGTATCTACCTGCTTCTTGGAGATTAACACATGGTCGGCACCCAACAGATTCTCTGCGCCTTCTGGCAGCTAAAAGACAACCCTGGCAGGATAAACACTCACTTCCCACAATACAGTGGGCTGAAACCTTATAACACTTTCAACATTTGAACAGGTGGCGCATACACGCCATCTGGAAAGGGTAACTATGCGGATATCTGGTCTGCTCTCTGTGAAGTTTATGGATTGTTCTTTGAACTCCGCTATTTTCCTATGAAGTTCAAATCCATGGACCCACTTCTTCCCTTCCTGTTCCTCTTTTCATTTGCTGAATTTTTAGAACAAGAAAGTGAAAGAATAAGGACCCCAAAACATACTGTTTTCCTCTGACCCCCTGCTAATATATTTGCTGCCATTGCTGTTTTTACGGCGGTCTTACCATTTTATTGTGTTTGTATTATTTTTAATACCACATTACTTTTTATTACATGTTTTATTATTGTACTCTGCCCTGGGAGGGATCCCGCCCTGAAAGACGGCCAAGAAATATGTTACATAAATATACAGACAAAAATTGGGATTCAGACGTCCTGTACAAACCACTTCGAGATTTATGAGTCGGGTCTCAATTCAACATCTGTCCACCTGGGGTCGCAGGCAGGCAGCGGCCTTCACCGCATACTGCAAGCTGCACTGTATCGAGACGCAGCCTTAGTCCACCTAGCCCTGTATTGTCAACACTGACTGGCAGCAGCTCTCCAGGGAGATGGCAGGCCGGGAACTTGTGACGTTCTGCATGTGAAGCAAGACCTCCTGGAAGGCTCTTTTTAATACTTTCCTGGAAGGCTTTCTTTTTAATGCTGCATTTTAGCCAGTATCACCACGATGCTTCTGCATTGATGCAACTTATAATTTTGCTGTATGCGAATTTTTGTTTGTTCGCTTGTTCATTTTTAAAACTTTTTCGCCAACCACCCAGGGTGCCTCAGCTACTGGGTAGTACAAAAAGGGAAATACATATAGTTCAGTTTGAGAGAAAAACTAAGAGGCTCCAGGCAGGGTCACAAAGCGCAGGTGAAGCAGTAACCTTGCTGAAAGCTAGCGCACGAAGAGCTGATCGGAGCTTTCAAACTGCACCCCATGCCCAAGTTCCACCGATTCATCAATATAATATAAAGAAGCTGAAATGAAATGGAGACAAAAACTGTAAAGATGCTGTGTGGGGGCGACCTAAGGCCAACCGGGGTTCGTTTCACCCATGAGTGAGGACTGTCAGCGGTAGGAGATCCCTCCGGATTTCTGCAGGGCCTCCACCTATTCCTTCTGCAAAAACCGCTTTCAAGGGATGTGGGAAGCGATTCTGGGTTCGAAGAAGAGGAGGGGGAGGCCAGGATGCCAAGACGAGTGACCCTGAAGAGGCTGCAAGTTGATGGGCCTCAGATACAGTGGGAAGGCAGCTTACACTTGCTGATGAAGAGGCAGCCGGATCGGGCATCATTAATCTGTGGAGGTCCAGGCCTCAGGTAAATTGCAGACACTCCAAGCAATTGGCTCTTGAGCAAGATGATCGGCCTTGAAGGCGGAATACTGGTGATTTGAGTTTGGAAGGGAGGAGGGATCTTCTGTTTGGAACCAGCTTCCTACCAATAGGCCACAATTCCTTAATGGCTAACTTGCTCCTTCTGCTATTGATTCCTGCGATTGCCTCATTAGTACTTCAAAACCAGGCTTACTGGCTTGTATTCACATAATAATAAAGCTCGGCCTGAGAAAGGCACTGTCTGCCTTTACCTGGAAGGGGAAAGAGGAGGGGGGCTCCCACACCTTCCTGGGGTAGCCAGGTGCCCAAGCAGGTGTGCCACCCCTTTCTGCCTTTGTGGCACTGGAATGCAACCTCCAAGAGCGTAACAGATCGGAAGGAGAAGTCAGTTCAAGGGTTGCTATCCCAGAATAACTGTTCTGGTAAAACAGCCATGGAGAGCTACGGCAGAGTGTAGTCATTTCCTTTTAATTCACCCCTTTCCCAAGACCCTCATACATTTAAAGTCATTCCGTGATCGCCGTCCTGCTTCTGAGAAGCAAATCCCAGCAGCCCACCACCCCCGGCTCCCCAAGCCTGCCAAGACGACGACGTCTGCCGAGATCGTAAAAACTGAAGGGGCCAAGAAACTGCATCAGCCGCACCGTATAAATCACATGCCACCCCCTCAACCTCCCCTCCCCCACCAAATAGTGAAATAATTATCACTGGATCCATTATGGAAATAAATCTACTTTTGCACACAAGACCTGGCAACCGGCAAAGGGGATGACGAAAACCTTCTACAGGAATTAATTGATTGGGGGATAAACCTGTTAAAAGGTATAGATTTACTGTAAAGGAAGGCGGTTCATTTCAGCACGCCTGGCCGTATGACAGCTGGGCTTAAAACTTTCCTGTAGCAGGGGACAATCCGGGAATGAAGGATGTGCCAGCCTGTTTGGCACCCGCCCGCCCGCCCAACCAGCAGAAACAGGCAAGGGTCGGGCTGTTGGCTAGGTCCCTTTTGGGCACGATCGGGGCAAGCTGCCGCCGCCGCCAAGAACAGGTTTCGAGAAATCCGTGCACTCCCGTATCCTTGAACTCATGGACCCAGAAATTCACCCAGATGCACCCTTTAAGCGCTGGCATCAAGGGTGGGCCAAGGGGGCCCACTTGCAAGCCCAAGCTGGCTCCTCTCCCTCCTGCGCCCCTTCACGCCCCGCAGCCGTCTTGTCCAAGGGACTGCAAAGCCCTGATTTTATGTAAATGTTGCATCTCCTGAGCCCAGTGCGTGCAGAGAAGCTGTTGTCATCTCCAGGACACAAGCCACAGATGTCCTTGACTGGAATACTAGGACAAGGGTGATGAGAAGGACAGAGGAGGTGGCAAGTCAGGAAGAAGCAAAGGGCAGGTACCAGAAAGGTGCAGCAGGTCCTGAAGGGAAGGCAAAGTCAAGGAACAGGCAGGAGTCGAGAGAAAAAGGACGGCGCTGCGGGACTAGAGGCAGATGCCAACTCCAGGCTGGCCTGTCAATGGTAGGCAGGGCTGGGCACCTGCCAGGGGTCCACACCCCGCCAGGGGCCCAGTAATAAGGGCCTCCAGGACCAGACCTGCGCTTCCTCCTCCCCCACGCACCCACCCAGCAAGCAAGTGGGACGACGATGAAGAGGAGGAGCAACGGTCATCGCTGGCGATGGTGGTGAGGAGGCTGGGGCTGTGGAGGGCATCTTCTCAGGGACCCCCAGAGCCTGGAGCCAGCCGACCCTCAGTGGTCACTCCCCATCCACCCTGACAGCCTGAGCCACATCTGGATAAATGGCCTCAGCAGGAACTGCAGTGAGCTTTCGTGAAAGTTCCAGCGTCAGTCATCCTTGCCACAACTCTTCAGCTGCGGGGGGGGGGTCAACACCCCCCTGCAGGCCAAGGGGAGCCTGGCTACCGAGTTCACCGCAAGGGGCTTACAGATGAACAGCAGGACGGAGCCACAAAAGGGATCGCGGGGCTGGTGTGCTGTGGCTCTTCCCAGGAGCACAGCCATTGAACCGGCCCAGGCTCTCGCTTTCGCCACTGTGCAAGCAGAGCTGCCAGAGCAAAGAATGGGCAGCGGGGTGCCGTGAGGAAAGGAAGCCTCGACAAGGCGTCTTCTAATGAAAGGATTACTTTTACCAACCCCGCATCCCTTGCTGTGATTGCAACTGAAGCCGAACGGAGGAGGAAACGCCTGGTGAAAAACATTATTTTGCCCTTCAGCTGTCCCCTGCGGCGGAAGCAGAGCACTCCACCCTTACAGAAAGCGCAAATGGGTCAATGGTCACCGGATCCCCCCACCCCCAGTGGAGTTGCTTGGGATGGTGGCTCATTGGCAGGACACCTGGGCTTGCCTGGAGAACATCTGGGGTCGCATCCGTTTTATTATTTATTTTTTGAAGGGTAGGAACATGGTGGGAAAGACCATTTCTGGGTTTAATCCCCAACATGTCCAAGCAAAGTAAGGGGGAAACCGTAAGATGTGGAAGAGTTATGGCTACCGCTCACTGGAGAGGGTACCTGGAATGAGTCGCAACTCAACCCCGGGAGGTGGCGGAGGCCCCGTCGGTGCGGCTGTTCAAAGACAGGCTGGACACGCACATGGCGGGCATGTCGTGAGTGGAGCCGGCTGGAGCCGGCTGGAGCCGGGGGTCAGACTAGATGGCCCATGAGACCCCTTCTGACTCGCTCCGTTTCTACGTTTCAAGGAAAAACACGGATTCAGATGTTTTGTTAGCCCGTTCCAGCGGCACTTTCGTAGCTATAAATCACCTCAGGAAAAGCAGCGCATGCACAGAAACGGTGGCCACAAAGAGAGTGTTGGACGCGGAAGTGCAGGCGTGGGGCAGAAGCCGACCCGTGCCGAAGCCCTCTTTGCAACTCGGAGCTAATAAACCACCCCCGGCTGCGAGGAGGGCAGCACTGGGGGTTGGAGCGGCAATTTGCTCCAAGCGCCTCGCTTCCAGCTTCCTCCCCCCGTTGCCACAAACGCCAATTAACCTGAAGAGGTGCGCACGGAGTGCTGGGTGCGGCGGCCATTCACTCCTTTACTGAAAGCGGAGAAAGCTGAAAGCCACGCCGGCAGCCAAGCACTGCCCCCCCCCCCCCCCGCGTGCCCAGGCTGGTTCCTGCCCTTTCGCTGGATCATGGCCAGCGTCTCACCAGCAGAGGAGACAGCAGGCAGGAGGAGCAGATTCCAGTCCCCGCCAGCAACCCCTGCGCGGCTAGTTATCTTGTTCAAGCACATTTTGAATTCTGCCCTGGTCTCCACCTGAGGCGGCGGAGCTTGCTGCACGGCCCCCTCCCACGATCCCAAACCGGCCCCTCCACTCCCGGCAAATCCTTCTGTTTAGGCCTCAGCTATGCTTTCCTTTGGGGTCAGGCGCCACCTTCTGGAGGAAAGGCAGTAAAATGATGATCGGTCCCACTCCGGGGCTTCGTTCCCCACCAACCTTTCATTTTTTTCCCCCAGGAAGGAGGCATCTGTCCAAAATGAGCTGCTTCCCCCACTGCCCTTTAAAGCTGACAACTTGCAAGGGAAATACCAAGCAGTTTTAAATGTAAGAAATATCGAATTTCTCACTGGGTGACTTGAAGCGAGCTGCATTCTCTTTCTTTCTCAAGCCAGCCCACCTCAAAGCATTGTTGTGAAGAACTGAGAGAGAGGAAGGGGGAAAACACACGAACCAAAAGGAGTTTTTTAAGGATACGGGGTGGGCTTTTTTTTTTTTTAAATGCTAAACTATTTTTTTTACTTTGTTTATGTTGCCCTTCTGTTGAAACAGACTTTTTTGGAGACAGCATTTCCCATTTTGAAACTGGTTCGTAATATATTACAAAATGTTCAGCATTAGAGCATGTCATGACGAGCTGCCCACCAAATTTAAAAACATGAAAATGGCAAATGTAAAAAGCTGGCAGCCACTGAATAACAAAGTAAATGGGGCTTTTTTGAAGCACACTCCAAAGCAATGAAAAGAATAAATTTTCTTCGAAAGAATAAACTGTCCAGTCCAAATCACTCCAGATTATACTGATGGTAACACTTATTTAGAGGAGACCCATTAAGGACAAAAGGGAAGTTAAATTTATACCCAAATCTTCTCTCTTGTACCTTAAAGTGCAGTACCTATACTGCAGCTGCTCATTAGTGAGGCATGGGCTCTCTGCCCATGCTCAGAGACACTATGACACAGCATTGATGGGGGCTGGGGTTAGACAGTGGTTTACCCAACGTGTGGACTCTGCTTGAGGCACCGGTGAACTTTTCGGCTAACTAGCGTCTATTTCTATCCGCATCAGCTTTGCCCTACGTCCATGCCTTGCTCTGCATTCACGTCCCACCCCTTTTTCTCCCTTGCAAGGGTGAATTCCAAGGACTGCCTGCATTTCTCTTCATCCTCGCAACCACCTCCCTGTAAGGAAGGCCCGGCTAAGAGTGAGTGACTGGCCCAAAGTTGCCCAGGGAGCTTCAAGGCCGAGTGGGGACGAGAACTCGGATCCCCCAGGTCCCCGGTCCGCACTCGCATCACCGCACTCCAGTTCTCGTCAGCCCCAGAGACGTGGACTAAGCCCGCTCCTATCAGAATTCGCGAAGATCAACAGCCCTAAGCATCCCGACGTTAACTCTGCTCTTGGGCACATTTCTCATCATCTTTTTAAATTACTTGCATGCAATACACATTCATTTGGTGGGGGGGGGGTCACTTAATGAGGCTTGTCTCTGAACAAACACGCACAAGATGGCAGTTTTGCTTTTACACTTGCCACGATCCTGAATGCTGAGCAAAAGGTATTTATTTTATTTATTATAACATTTCTATGCCGTAGACATGGAAAGAAGGGCAGTGGATCTGAAATCCATGAGAAGAGAGATTCTTAGAGCCGAAATCTGAAGAAAACAGCTTGTTTGCACAAATGGCGCTAACGGTGTGTTTTCATGGGTTTCCGTGAGGCTCAAGCCCAGTAAATGCCTTGGATTCCTCGCAAGAGGAATAAGGTAGGCTATAAATACAAGATGATGGTGAAGAATGTTATTGGTATGCACCATTTACTCCAGCAATAGAATATAGCTGGTACGTGGAAGAAAGTTCCACACGCCATCCTCAGGGTCTTTTCATCCGGATAAAACCGTTCCTGCCCACATCACCAAGAGCGACTGCACTTGGGGTGTTGTCAGCAAGAATCCACTCCACGCTCATGCTCTCCGGGAGACCTGCCGAATTCACTTTTCCAGGGGGCCTGCAAGGCAGTTAATTTATCTGCCTAGACAGGTGGAAAACTGCCTCAGTTCGTCCACAGGACAATTAAAAGCCCAGCTTAAGTGACGGAAAGGCATCTCTGGGGGAAGAGGAGAGACTGGAGAGAGACACGCACCAGGAATCATTCAGACCTGTTTATCTTCATCCACACTCGGAGGAGTCTGGGTGGCAACCGGGAGAAAACCTACAATCTGGACACGGTGCTAACAGGATTTCAGGAGATTGCTAGCGTCTTAGAAAATTTCCTGCACGCCCATTAGCCGCCGACGGCTGCGAAGCGTGGAATCTGATGTCGCGTGTATGTGCGTGTTGTTGTCGGTCTTTTTAAACCAGAGGTCTTTGTGCAAAGACTGCTTTGCCCGAATACACGATGCTCATGATGGGTTAAATCGTCTCAAGGTGTCTCTCGATCAAAGACCAGAGCAAGTCCGGTTAACTGGACTTCACCGTATGGGTCTGATAACACTGTTCTGGCAAGTTGTGATCGGCTAACACATTCCATGCGAGTTCTCGGGGGCTTGAGCATAAGAAAGGGGCCGCAGCAACCTTTCTGCCTGCATCCTGCATCTTTCTCTTGGCTTGTACCATCAAGCATAACCTTCTGGGCAACCTGTCCGACTGGAGGCCTCTGCCCTCGGCAGCTTTAAGGAACTGGTTTTCTGTTATTTTGGGTTTTATGCCTGGCATTTTTTACCTCCCCAAACACTATCCTAGTTCTCATATGCATTATGTTTCCTTTCCTTTTTCCAGTTGTTAAACAAAGTTGACAAAAACGAGAGCTGCTTCTGGTTTTCCCCCAAGAAAGTCTTGGAAGGAAATCCCGAGCATTCTGTTTACTTAACTGGTACAGTTTAACGCATCAGTAATTACTGAGTCTCTAATTCCCCAGCCTCAGGGGTGTGCCACAAGGGCGGGAAGTTCCCTGGAGAAGGCTAAGGTGGGCGTAGGGTTGCTAGCAGCCTACACACTGGTGGAACAAGGAGCCCTCCTCCTCCGAGACAGACCCTTGCATCCGGTTTATCCACCGAGCAAGTATCTTGAGAACACGCATTCAGAAGGCAAACTAGCAAAGCGTGAAACTACAAGGGCAAAGCACGCAGGAACTCCCGGCTACTTACTTAATGCAGCCGATGATGACCTGGGTCAAAGGGTAAATCAACGGTTCCATGACGTCACTAGGATGGATGGTGCTCAGGACCCGGCACCAGAAGTAGAGGCAATGGATGTACTGCCAGTTGTACACAGACTGGTAGTTTTCCTGAGGAGAGGCAAGCAGGAGAAAACCAATGTGAGCGACTCATTAAACCAGCCCAGGTCCCCTTTATTGCACAAACACGCAAACTAATCAAACTGAGGCCAGTATTTTAGACAGTAAGCGCACTGGCTAGATGGCGGCACTAAAACCAAGATCACCACCATTTTCATGGTGCTTATTTCCGTTATTGCCATTATTCCAAGCCTGGGAATAGCCTCACGTTACTGTCACCTCCGCCCCAAGTTAAGAAAGCAAGAACAGAAAACGAGCCCTGCTGAATGTGGCCAAGGCGCCATCTTATCCAGCATTTTGTCCAGAAAGGGGCCAACCAGGTGCTCCCGGGATCCCACAAGCAGGACAGGACTGCAACGCTGCCCATGTTCCCCAGCAACCGGTGCACGGAGGCAGCCCGCCTCCAATACCGGAAGGAGTCACAAACGGCCATGAGGACTAGCAGGCACGGATGGCCTCTTCCTCCTCCACAAACTAGTCCAACCCACTTTTAAAACTGCCCAAATTGGTGGCCATCGCTTCACCCTGTGGAAATGAGTTCCACAGTTTAAGTATTTGCTGCATGAACTTTCAAAGTGCTCTGGTACGCCCTTCTAAAGACATAGACGAACATGTGGATTAAGAACACAACTGTAAATCAATGATAAATATAAATTATGACCCTATTTGTGCTGCGCACACCCTGCTTTCTGACCATCTGCAAAATTAGTTCTCGGGAAAGTTTACAACACTAGGGATCATCCTCACATTTACTCAGGAGGAGGCCCCACTGAACTATACAGGGATTATTCTCAGCCTTCATGTCTAACAGTGTCACCAATCTGGCGCCCTTCACCTGCACTGGACTACAACTGGCCTTACTTGGTAGGGGACGATGGGAACTGTGGTCCAAAGGAACGGGAAAGCAACATGTTGGGAAAGCCTGCTGCATAAGGTAAAAACACCGATGGAGAAATGCATCGGATTCCTTTCCATTTCCTATTAAACCCAACAGTGAAGTGCGAGTTCTGCAGTGACTTCCGATCCATTATCATTTTTGTAAATAATCAAATAAGCTGCACATTATTTCTTTAGTATGTTGGTGTCCCCAAAGCATTACAATGGGCAGGGGCGAATTATTGTTTAAATTACCAGTTTCACGGCCACTTCAGGGCAATGATTCCTTCTCTACTAAAGATGACCAAGAGGAGAAGAAAATTCTCCGATTTCTTTGTATATATAATAACCATATTTGTAAAGAGTTGCTATGCGCCAACACCCATCCACAGACCTGTAAAAAAGTCTTGCAGGAAGTAAAATTATGTATGTGCATCTTCATCCAATCATGTCTCACCCACAGTATTTCTTCTTTAGAAGAAATGTGTTAATACACTGTGTAATTTAATCACATAATTCTCCTTCTGTTTGCCCTCAGCTTTATTTTCCTCCACGGTCCCTCCTAAATTTATTTTTAGACTGTGAACTCCTTTGGGCAGGGACCTTGCAAGGTTGTTTTAGTCAAGTGCCAAACACATAAATAACCTATAGTAGAAAAACAGGGCTTGGAAAGGGTATTATTCTGAAGGTGCTGATGAAGTGGTTAATTCTTTATATTTATATCCCACCTTTTTTCCTTTTCAAGGAACTTAAGGGGACAAGAACACTGGCAAACCCTTCTGTGGGACTGGAGAAGTTTCTTAGCTCCCTTTTGAGCTGCTTCTGTAGATTTAAAATCGAGATTCGTTCAAGTGATGCTTGGGACACCCCCCGAGGTTTAAGAAGAAGCAGGTCTGGTCTGCCAGGTACCGACAACATTACGACACACATGATGTGCCCGTGTCCTGTGGTGCTGACGTTCTGGTTCGGGGAGACACAGCTCGGATAAACTCTATTCTGTGGGAAATCGGTGATAACAGCTTGCAAATTACATCCCTGAGGTGCAGGGATGAGCGGACACACAGCAAAAGCGGACCCTGTCAGCCTGCATGTTGCAAGGAGACCTATGCTCCTAGCTTGGAACAAAAGCACCCACCACCTAAGATGCAAAGAACAAAGGCTCTTGCTGCTTTTGTGCTGTTTGACTGGGTCTCCTGTAACCAACCTGGGCCATACGGATGCTTGCTGAAAGGCATCAACTGTTTACATTACCATGGAGATTTGAGATTTGAATATATATATACACATATATATTTATGCCGGGATGTCTCCAGATTTTTATGTATTTTCGTGTATCTGTATAGTTATTTATTTGTACTGGAAGCCGCCTTGAGGCTTTTGCCAATGGGGCGGCATACAAGTGCTCCAAATGAATGAATGGAAACTTTCATCCTGTTTGCCTCTCTCCTTAAGAGTTGCTGTTTTTTCTTATAGGTCAGAGAAAATGTTAGAGGAAGGCCCACCAGGGCCAGAGCCCTGAGCCTTCCGGCTGATCGAGGACTCCATGCGGGAGGCGCAGCGACTTTCCACATGGGGCCCCGGTGGGCTTGCCTAGATCGGATCCCCCATACTGCACCGCTTCCTGCTGCACACGCCCCTTAAATGTTTCCACCTGGTGCTTCCTCTGAAACCAAAGACCCTCCTTTCCTCTATCCATGCAAGACCCTCATGCCATCGATTTGCCATTTCGGCACAAAATGGATGCACCATCACAATGGGTCAACTTGCATCCGGGGCGGGGGGGGGGGGGCTGATAAAATCTAATCGGCAGCCGGTCGGCTCTGCACCACCCTGAGGAACTAACGGGATTGGGATGCTGTCTGGATCACGGCTGAGGGTCAAAGCTGCCAAGGGGATCCAATTAAGGCCCCAGACGTGGCAGATCCACCCTCAAGCTCAGCGGCAGCATCTGGGTATCTCTGGGACGGGTCAGGGAAGGCTTAAGATCACAGAGCAACTCCTGCAAGTGTAACCAAACCACTAATCTGCATCGGTTTTGTTTTCTTTAAACACAAATAAAGGAGGGAATTAGCGATTTGTCTGGGATTAGCTCACGTCAGACTCGATCAGAGCCAATGTGGAGAATGATCTCCACAAGAGGAGAGAATTAAGTTCTTGAGCCCGCCCGCCCCTCCGCCAATCTCTCTTCTCCTCCCAAAAAATTATATTGGGAACAGGGAATGGGCCGGCCAGGCTGCAACCAATAAAAAAGGGGGCAAACAACAGGTTGATGGAAAGGCGATGAGAGAATGGGGAGACTGTCTAATCTGCTTTGCCAATTTTGGTAATACGATGAAATGCAGATTTCATAGCGACAGGGGGTAGGCCAGAGAAGACGAACGCGGGTAAGAGCAGGCTGTGGTGCTCACAAGGACCCAGAGACCAAGAATCATTGCCAGATTGCAGGAGGGGCACCGAGAGCTGGTTTCTCTCTTGCTCAGCCACATCCGGGGGCAAACAGGCGCAACGGCTCCTTTGATGCTTCTTGGGCCCCAAAGAAGTGCAGTTCTGCTCCGGCTTTTTCAGAATCCCAAACCAAAGGTCCCTCTAGTCCAGGCTGGGAGAGTCAGGAGCCCTTTCCGGCCCATAATACAGCGCCCCATGGAACACACTTGGAAAAAAATTAATGACTTTTTAAACAGGGTAACATTTTGAAAATGGAGAGGAATTGAGCATTCAAAGGTCTTGCTGGCAGACCTTTTTAGTGCTCTGAAGCACCTATGGAGCCCTATTTTGTCTGCTTTTTGCAATTAACATTTTGGATGAAGCAGAGGGAGACGGGGCATGAAACCTGCACGCTGTCTGCCCCTTCACCCTGCTCCCAAAGGCATCCAGGTATTTCCAGGAATCCCAAAGCATGGAATTAGAGTAATCCCATCTCCCAGCTGCACGTTCCAAAGCAAGCCCTATTTGGAGATATACTGCCTTGAGAAATGGAGGTTCCATTTAGCTCCCAAGAGTAACAGGAAGCTTCCAGCACAGGGGCTATCCACGTGCAGCGCTCTCTTAAACTCACCTTCTTCTTCACGGTCATGGCGCTGCGCAGGTGAATGGCCAGCTGGCGGATGTAGATGAAGGCGTGCTGGTAGGACACGCACGGGTCCAGGGCGTACAGCTCCGTCAGGGTCCGCTGCATAAAGTTAATCATGGGAAGGGCGTTGGGAGACGTGAATCTTGAGTTCTTCACATAGGAGATATACATTTGCTAAAGGGAAGAAAGAAAAACAGAAGCAACAGCATACGTTTTACACAAGCGTCAACAAATACTTTGGAACTCTTTTCTGCCACAGAAAAGACAGACATGCAAGACAAGCCAAGGTAAAATAAGGAGCTCCTCAGGCTGGTGTCTGTGCTGTCACAGAGCGCGCAACTTGCCATAAAGGACTTCTTGGTGATGTCTCTGCAGCTGTGGAACTCCCTGCCTCAGGTTTGTCTATCACTCTCCGTACTGCTTTTTCAGACAGCGTGGGATGGTGCTTAGAAGACCGGACTGGAACTTGAGCTCCAGGTTTTAATGCCCCACCTGGCCAGGAAGCTCTTTGGGGCCAAGCACTGACTCTCAGCCTGACCTACCTCACAGGGCTGTTGTAAGGATAAAATGGAGAGGGTTATGGAAGCCTGCTTGGGCTCCTTGCAGGGAAAACATTTGGGATCCCAAAAGAATCAACCTTAAGCTGAAACTGTATATATTTATTCTAAGATTTTTAAACTGTTCCACTTCAAAAGATATTAGAGTGATACAAGACAAAATGAAAAATATGAATGAAAAGAAACTTTTCTCAATCCTTGAGAACCAAAATCTCATATCTTCAGCACAAAACCAGTAACTAGCTACTGCACACTCCTTAATTAACAGATTTTATTCCAAGAGGAGACTCTGCCTTTCGCCTTTGATGGAGAATTTGGATGTTTGCCCGTCTGGGGGGCACAGAGGGAAGGCAACACCTGGCCATGCCAGTTTTATCCAGAGCAAAAGGCAGAAGTGATGATGGAGATACTGGGGAAGACCCAGTCCAGCGGCTGAACATCTGCTTTGCAGGGGGGAGGCCCAGATTTCGGTCCCTGGCGTCTCCAGGAACGGGTCTTGCACGAGCGCTCAAAAGGGCCCTGCAAATCATTGCACGGCTCTTCAGACCAACGGTGCTTCGGAAGAGCATCAAAGCGCTGTACATGCTCACAGTGCTTCCTGCCATTGCCTCACCTTCAGGACCGGGTTCAAGTAGACATCTTTTTTGTGCCTGCAGATTTTGTTGAGCACCAGGAAGGCCAGCACCCTCACCGTCTCCTCACCCGTGCTCCAGAGACGGGTGGCTTGCTAAAAAACAAATGAACGAAGCATGAGAAACGCAATGCCCAGAGAGAAAAAGGGTGAGGAAAGGCGGCTTCTCCTGCCAAGCCTCAAAATACAAGCCACCTGAGAGAAAAATGCATAGATTGAGTTGAAGAATCCTGCTGGGGCAGGCCTGTGCATCGCACCTAGCCTGCTCACCTATGGTGAGCCAAACAGTGCTCCAAGCGAGTAGCTAGAAAAGTAGTTCTCAATAGGAAGAGAATGGGCTTTCCTCCCAGGCTCCGGACATGCCACAAATTACTGAAGGGCAGGTGGTATTGTAAGGCTTGAAGGACTAATACCTTCTTAGGAAGGAGCCTGGTTGTTCTACTCCCGGCAAATAAGCACTGGCTGCAGGACCCACCTTAACGAGCATCCGGCACTGCTTTGGGAAGGTCAGGTAGTACGGCACGATGGAGTGTATGTGCTGGAGGACGGCTGCTCCCACGGAGGCTTCCGTTAAGCATGTCAGGAGCTGCAGGATGGCAGGACATGGAGGCAACGTTAAAATCTTGGCCAGGCACAGCTCGGTCGAAGGGGTCACCTCCTGCCCGCCCCGCCCCCCACTGAAGTGGTCTGCAAGCCTCAGACATTTGGGTTTCTGATGATCTTTCAATCGGAATAAATAAAGGGATCATACAAACATGGATGTTGCCATTTTTCTGATGCCCAACATGATTATTCTTTGCTTTTACTGCCATTGAGACTTCAAACCAAGCCATGCTTTGGGTTAGGCAGAACTGAGAGCCCGAAGCTTGCTCTGAGCTTCCAAACATACTGCAGGCAAGGCACAGTTCAGACCAGGACTCTTTGGACTCAAACTCCCAGCATTCCACTGGCCGCTGGCCATGTTGCTGGGGGCTGCAGGGAGTTGATGTCCAAACTCAGAATCAGGATACCTAATTTAGAACTGTGGGTCTGCTTTTGTTTCCCAACTGAAGCTCTAATTTAATCACTGCGCACATGAACCATCGTTTCCAAACGGTGTTTCAGAGCATGCTTCGGATTCTGGTTTGCTGCCCGCAGATGAAGCATCATTTGGCAATTCGGACATTAAGCCACCTTCACCACTGCCGACCTCAACTCCGCTGCGGGTACACGAACCGCAGCTGTGCTCCAAGTCCTCTCATCAGGTGCTCCATGAAGCAGCCCACCTGAACAGGTCACTTGCCTGAACCACTCCAAAACACAACAAGGAGCCCATCACCTTCCGCACATAGGTTTTCACTCATATTCTGTTCGACCGCCGTCCATTCGGTTTACATTTTTGTTGCTCGCCGATCCTGAATCCAACTGCTCGGATTCCAAACTCTGAGGCTGGAAAAGTGGTCCAAGCTCGGAGCGTGGGTTCCCTGCTGGAATCCCCCTCCTCGTGCAGCACAGCCAGCGGAAAGGGCGCCGCACTGGCTGCTCTTCCAAGGGCACAAGACCCTTGGGAGAGAGGTTTTGGGAGCGTTCCAGAGGGCAGGAGACCTACAGCCTCCTTGTCCTCACCCCCAACTGCCACAATTACATGACCCATATGGGGAATTCCCATAGGAAGGTGCCCTAAATAAAAAAATATAGCTCATGTGACCCATCGAGCTTCCAGCCCTCAGGGCTGTGAAAATAAAGTTGCGAACCAACTGAGCCTCTCCTTGTAAAAACACAGGAACCAGAAGCTGTTCCAACAACACTGCTGCTGTTCTGGATTGTTGGATAGCCAGTATATTTATAGAACTTTTTTTTAGCTTAGCACAGACGTTGTTTAAGAAGAAAACAAAGCGAAAGAAAGCAAACCATTTAAAAACAAGGCGCACAAAATTCAACACACACACGCTGCCAGAACTTTTACCTGGATGACGCAGCCAAGGTATGTTTTGATATCCAAACGCAGCTTGCCCCACAGTGGACTGGAGGATGGCACAAATACCCTAAGGGGGAGGGAAAGGAAATACGTTGGGTACAGTTCATTTTATCTAAGCAAAGGAGCAGCAGAAAACAATGTTGAAATTGTCATCCCACTCAAAGCCGTACCCACCATAGATGCTGAGCTAGGAATTATGTGCTAGAATCACAGAATAGCAGAGTTGGAAGGGGCCATGAAGGCCATTGAGTCCAACTCCCTGCTGCTGCAGAAATCAGCACCTTGCCCAGTCACCACTTTCCATTTCCACTTCCACTACCCTAGTTATTTTTCAAGCAGGCTTCTAGTCCTCATTGTTGCTAGAAATTTAGTTCAGGTAGATAGAAAGATGGAGGGATGGATATTTACAACAAAACAAATTAACATTTTATAAGCATGTCAACATTTAGACAAGTTAACGGTTGGGAAACACCAAGAAAAATAAGCAGCTTTTTAATAAATGTTGAAACTACACAATCTTTTGTGCTTGAGAGATTGCAGGTTTAGATGAGAACAATGCAAGTGAGGTATTCAGAACCAAAATTATGCTTATCAGGATCATCCAGGGTTCAAAGCGGTAGAAATGAGTGCACTTCCTGTCCAAGAAAGTTAGATAAAATGCACTCAATGTGAACCATACATCCGTATCTCGAGACTCGCAGTTTAATTTTATTATGGCTTTGTTATGTTTACATGCTGCCGCCTTCCAGACAGCCCAAGGCCGTCTGCATGGTCCTCCCTTCCATCTTAACCGCACAACAGCCCTGTGAGGCAGGCTAGCTTCATCATTCATGGCAACCCCGAAGACACCCTGTGAGTCGAAGACGAAACCCCAGATCTCCCAAACCCCACACCAATGCTCTAACCACTAGGCACACTAGTTTATTTTGCCAAGACTTTAAGTTCTCCAGTGCTTCACGCTCTGTGTAACCCCACCGACAAAATATTCATTACACAATAAAGTTGCACTGTTTCACTGTTTGTTTCTTTGGCTTCACAACAGCCCTCAGAAGCAAGCTGTTCTCACTGCACTTTTGCAGACAGGGAAATGAAGGGGGGGGCACAGAACTTCTTTTTTCTTAAATAAATTTTATTTAAAAAATTTTAAACTAACACTAAAAACATCAACCATCAATTACATCAGACATACTGGGTCAGCCCCCTCCTCATTCTTTTTTTCTTCTTTTTAACATTCCTTAATCATATTCAAAGCCATTTATAATAACTTAAAAACTTATCTAAATCTAAGCCAAGTCCAAAAAAAATATGCTTAAACCTATGCAAAGTCCCGTTTCTCTAGCCAATAATAAAGGGAAAAAATCTCCAGGTTTGATAGAAGTATGAACTTCTTAAATGCCTTCCAACAAGCTGAACAGAAATGTGCACTCTGGTGCTTTACACTCCCAGCTGAATTGAACCGGCTCCTCAGCTCGGCCGGGAGGGCTTCTCGGGGGCCGTCACACCCACCGGGAACGTGCCCTGCACAGGTCGCCCGCCAAGCAGCCGGTGGGCCAGGATCATGCGCGGACCTGCACATGCCCCCTACCCCATCCCAGCCCACCACCCCGGCCGGATCGGATGGCAGTGCCGAAGAATGCCACCGCGCTGACGCCCGCGGCCAGAAACAAGGGATTAATTGTACCCTCGCGGGCCCAGCTGTTCAACTTGGCTCGCTGTGTGGACGGAAAGTCCAGCGCTGACGCAGGCAGCCTTGGAGAGCCCTCGTTCTCGGAACATCAGATGCTCAGGTGGCGTGCTCTGGGGGCACTGGCATTCCCGGAGGCGGCGGTGGCACTCTGGAGGACATCCAGGAACGGCCCAGGATCTCTGCAGCCGCTTTCCATGCGGAAGGTCCCAGTTCGATCCCCAGCACCTCCACACGGGGCTGGCAAAAGGTGAACCCCCTCCCCCAGTCACCTACACTGGGCTGGAGGGTCCGACACCTCTGCCAAGGGGGGAGAAGCATTCTGGATCGGCCAAGGAGAAAAAGGCAGGAGTGACTTCTATCAAACTTGGGACTCTGTTTATTATTGGCTAGAGAAACGGGACTTCGTATAGATTTAAATATGTTTTTAAGTTATCATAAATGGAAAAGGAAGAGTGTGGGGGCTGACCCAGCAGGCCCGATGTTTTTGATGATTGATGTTGTTTTTAGTTTTTCTTTGTTTTTTTAGGACTATAATTTCAAATAAATTTATTTTTAAGAAGAGAGAGAAAAAGGCAGGAGGAGGAGCTGAAGCAGCAAGGTTCTGGGAGCAGCGGGCCCGCCAGAAGGGCAGCCAAAGCCGGTGGTCGCCAGCCGAACAAGGCCCCTGAAGCCGGGGAAGTACGGGGTGGACCTGCGGCCCCCAGCAGTCAGCACTGGGTGAAAAGGGAAGGGCAACCCAGGGTCATGGGCCACTCAGAGGCACCTCCAACCAAGCCCACCTCGAGGGTGGGGGGCTCAGCGGCACACCCAGCTGGCGAAAGCAAGCTGCAGCGGAGAATGCTAAGCTGGCAGCACTGTGCTATGGTGCTCAAGCCAGAGAACTGACGGAAAGTTACCCGGCTGGGCTATGCAAAGCTTGCCCGGATCGTGCGATGCTTTGCAGCTCGCGGCAATCGTTTGAGGCAGCCTGCAGCTTGCGGCAACACTCGCTGGTTTGTCGCTGGGGTAATACAAGGCGCTGATGTGAAGTAAGACAAAGAGAAGCAGGGGCCAGACACACGCCCTCTGCCGAGAGCTGGGACAAAAGGGGTGCCGGAAGTCACCTGGGCACCACCTCTGCCTGGCCGGCCGGCCGTTCCTCCCTCAGTTCTTCTTTTCAAGCACAAACAAATGCCCAAGTGGCCGGCCTGACCGTGAAGCGAGCCAAGGCCAGGCACACAACAGGGTAAAAAGCCGTTTCCGGCCTTCCTGAGCACACTGCTCAGGCGTCCTCAGCTGACCCCGGCATCCACGCCACGAATCAATGGCTGCACGGCGGGACAACGCAAGGTTCGACCTTCCGTGCTCGGAGCCGGCGAGCCGTCTGAGCAGCTCCGCACCGTGCACCCACGCAGCAAAGACCCAGGCCCACGCACCACCGGCCTTCTGACTCCTCTGGAATGTCGCCCCCCAGAGCCCAGACCACAAGGCGGGCCTCAGCCCTTCCTGCTGGGGCCACCCCCCAACAAAACCTGGAAGCAGCCCCCTGCTGAAGCCCAGCCCTGCCTCCAGCCCCTGTAAGTGCTGGCCCCCAAAAGCTCCCTCCCTTCTGGAAAATATCTGCTCTTTCTTCAGCTCTAGAGACAGAAAAATTAAAATGATGATGAGAGGGAAGGGGGGTATTTTCCAACTGATGCTGAAAATTCTGTGCTGGTTGGGCCAGAGTGTTCCTTATTTTTCTTCTAATTTACAAGTCTACGTATGCATATCTGCCTGTCTAAAGAGTCCTCTGAGCATACAGAAAGTGCTACCATGTTTGGTTACTTCAGTCCTCCTGGGCAGAAAAGAGGAGGTTGGACTGGCCTAACGCATAAATAGCAACACATTCTAAACAGGCACAGAACAAATACCGGGAAATATGAAATGGTATCATAGAACTGTGACTCCTTGGTGGCAACTCTTGCATTTTTGCTTCAGGCAAAGATATTTTTATTTTCCAAGGCCTCCGCCAGGGATACAATTAACTGTCACGCTTGTTACCCTTTTTTAAAATCTATTTTTATACAGATCACTGTTTTGGAATTGTTCTAGTTGTCCTTTAGAAAGATCCCCCTCGTTGCAAGGTGAGAGGTTTTACAGCGAAGGCTGGGATACAAATTCCTAAAATATAAATCTTGGTGGGCACAAATGAGGCAGTGGGTACCCCAGTGCACCCCAGCTGTTTTGCACTACACTCGCTATCGACTGTGCCCACTGGCTTAATGGCTGGCGCTGTTGGGGTTTGTCGCCCAAACTAGGTGGGGAACATCAGACCGCTGCACCCCGCTTTGGCGTTTGGAGCACACCCCCGTTGCACAGGGACAGCTTGAAATCAGAACATTCAGTGATCCGTGAACTTTAAAAAAGAGAAAATAAATCAATGGCAACTTACTTGGATTTGCTTTTCGCAACCTTCTGCTGGAGCAATTTCTGCAGTATGCCAAAGAGGTCGCGGATGCAGAAGGACACAAGGGTGTTAAACACTAGACGGGGAAGAAAACAGAGGAGTCATAACTAGCCATCAAGCCCCCACCCCAAAAAAGCGCACACCCTTTACAAGTCAGCACAGGTTAGAATAGGCTTCCCTTTGATGGGGGACAGTCTTCAGGCAAACATGTGCAGGTGTCAGAGTTACACACGGTGCGCACACCGTCTGAACGGCGCCCTGAAGCACAGCCCATCCCCCCAAGAGGTCCACTCCCTCCCCCAGGCTGCACTCCCCCATGAAGTGCAAAATGATGCTCCAGAAAGCGGCTGAAGCTGTTACTGCAACTTTCACCACACGATCTCCTTAAATTAGGCGAAGCGTTTGCAAATGACGCAAGGTCCCCTCCATAGGCATGCCAAGGTTCAGGGGCCTGAGCGCTGTGGGGGCAAGCAATGAACCGATGCAGACAGACACACAACCCAGCCTCATTCAGACAACATATGTTGTTAGCCGTCTTTATTTGTGCAGCAGCCGATCGCCGCACGTCTCTGCGCTGACCAGACACCCTTTATTAGAGCACTGGGGTAAAAACGGGGAGCAAGAAAAATACAGACGGCAACTGCACAATAACATTCCAACATGCGACATTTAAAACGGTGCAACGGTTTCGATAAAACTAGACCAGTTTAAACCAGCTGAGAACCCAGAGGCTCACCTGTGCTGTCGGCGACTTTGTACTTTCCCGGATCCGGCCCTATCGCTTCCCCCTTGGCTGTTACCACACAGGCTTTGAACGCCTGGGTGATCTCATGGAAAAGCTTGCCCGTCAGCCGTTTCTGGACGAAGGAGGAAAGGTGAGAGAACATTTCAGAAAAGCCTGGGGGAGAATAACCAGTGACATGTTCCGCCTGTGCATCCCAACTCGCTAACACCAAGAGGAGAGGGCCAGATGTTTTGCCGGGTACTTGGAACAAGACAGGGCCCAGCAGGGGTGGTCAGCAAGGGGTAACCCACCCCACTTTGATCAATGCTGTCTTGGCACCTGAAAGATTATTGCTTTTTTAAAAGGAACATGAAACTGTCTCTTGCCTCAGCGGCCTCTTTCCACCGTTCCACCATCTTCAGAGTTACAGTCATGAAATCCACTTTTTTCCGTTTAGCCGTTCCTTCTTTTTCTTCTTCTTTGTCGTCATCGTCGTCATCATCGCTTGCCTCCTACAAAGGTTTTTTTTTTTTAAATGCAAGGGAGTGATCATAAAGGCACATACTGGGCTTCCCCAACCTTCTGCTCTCCAAATTTGTTGGACTACAACGCCCATCGTTATGAGCCAGAGAACTGAAGGCAGCTTGAGAGGATTCATAGCATCAGGCGACTGGAAGGGGCTCTGCAGGCCCTACTCTGTGCCCTGTACAATCGACCCAACAGCTTTGACGACATTCGTCCCTGCTTGGCATGTGACGGGTCACAGGACTGACCCCGCCTGAAAATTTGGAAGGCCCTGGCACGTCCGTGCTGAAAATGCCACGACGGAGTGTGCGAACACTGCCCAGGCTCCAGGACCAACTTCTGAAGGCCTGCACTCTGGCCTCTTGAACAAGGTGTTGGACTGACAGGTAAATGGGAGAGGGATTTTGTGGCAACGTTGCGGTCTTTTCTCTCACTTGCGGGACTTTCCTAAGGATATGAGAACTGCCCCACCTTTGGAAACTTTCAAAAAGCAATGGAACCGCTTTCATTGCAGCCTGCTTTTTATGGATATGGCTGCTTTTTTAAATGTTTACATGGCTACTGCTCAGTGTCAAGGAGGTATAATGTGGTTTTAACTTGATGGTTTAGTTTACCATGTTTTATTTTCATATTTTATGAAAACTTGTGCACCTCCCTGGATAAACAATTGTGCACTAAACAGATGGCATGTGCATGCACGTGTCCGCCTTCATTCAAATTTCCACTTTATTCAAAACCATGAGGACTGGAATCTTACTTTACTTTTAGAAGAAAGGTCCCAACTGAATAGTTGAGCACATGCTTTGCTATTGGGATCTGGGCAGCTCCAGGGCTCCATCTCTTGGCCAGAACCAGAATGGTCGCTGTGGTACTTGCAGGGTCACGATCGGACCCTGCTGGAGCTCTCCGCTCCCTGCTGAATGCCAGGTGGGAGACAAGCTATATATCCCACCTTCAGTCTGCCGGAAGGCGTTCTCTTTGCTGCACTCCAGCTCTTGCACCTTACCCGACCCTTGCTTAACCCAGTCCCTGCCTGGCCTTGTTGACTCACCTTGTTCTCCTGCCCCTTCTGCTTCTTGTCCTGTTTCGTACTATCCGGTTCTCTGTCATATCATATTGCTTGGCTTGTTTTTTGTAAAGGACATGTCCTTCCTAAAATACTGATTGTCATTGTTTTATTCTAAGGCACCAAAGGACATTATATAGAGCAGCCTATACATATTTTAAACAAAATACCTCCAGTGTTTCAGGCAAAACATGAAGGCCGTCCTCTTCGTCAGAGCTGTCCGAGTCATCAAAATTAAGCAGTGTCCGGTCATTTTCTTCTAAGAACTGGTAAAATTCAGGATCTCTGTCCTTCAGCCGGGAGAGCTGATCTTTATGCTGGGATGCACTTCCCTTCTTCTTTACCTTCCTGCCCATAAGAGAGTTTTGGTGGTTGTTTTTAAAAGCAGCTAATTTTGAAAGACATAACAGAGGAACTTAACTCTATAACCTGGTCATCCACATTTACAGCGCTGTCTTAGTAAACCCCATTGAATTTGCACTTACCTGGGCATAAACCTGAACTCAGAAGAACTCACTTCTCAATGGAAATGCATGGCTATTACAGCATCCCTCTCTTAGCAGGTGCCTTCCAGCTGCTAGCCAAATGCCACTTTGGAGTCCAATTTACATGGAGGCTACTCTGGGGAACCTTTTTGGTTCAGGAACAGGATAAAAATACTTGAAATATTGTTCATGATGATGATACATATCTATAACCTGCCTATTTTTATTGATTTGGACTCAGGCAGCTACTTCATTTCTCATCCAGGAACTGCCCTGAGCTCCCAAAAGAGTCTAAAACTCCTGGACGGCACAATTTATTACATTTCATCAAAGCAGGAGATATACGGTCTTACTTTTCTGCAGGTTTTGATTTCAGTCCTGCTTTGTTTCTGCCGCCATCCTGCCCATTCTGGTGTGGCTTCCCGCTGGCCCTGCCTTCCCCACAATTCAGGGCACCTTCTTCTGCGTCGCCATCCACATCTGAATCAAAGGTTGAGGTCAGGAACTCATCAACGCTCAGCTCAGCAAGCTTTCTGGTTCCAGAGAGGCAAGGCAGAAGGGGGAGAAAAGAAAAAAGATGGTTTTAAAACAAGACAGGTTTGGATGTCACTGCCTGTGTGTGTGTCTCATCTCGGGTACACTGCAATTGCGATAACCCTCTGAACTTGCAGAAGGGGAACAGAGGCTCTCTCCAGTTTGAGAGGGAGACAAGACTGCACCCTTAGCGATTAGTTTCATCACTGGAGTTTGTGGTTTCTACGAATTTAGAAATAAAGCACAATATGGCAAGTTTAGAAACAAAGCAAGAAAACAAAATGCCAATGAAAACCGGGGCTAGTCAACCAAGCGAGGCTTCTCGGAATAAAAAGGTCTTCACCAGGCACCAGAAACAAAACGATGCCGGTCGCCTGCCTGACACCCAAAGGCAAAGAGTTCCACAGAAAGGGAGTTACCGCACTGATACAGTAATCCGGCCTAATTTCAAAGCCCCAGGCCTGCAATCTGCCCTTGCCATACTTTGGAACCATCTGAGCCTTCCCTGGCAGCCTCCTGCATGGGAAGAAGGGCGTAAGTGTGGGGCCGGAAGAGCGATTTTTGGCTCCAGTCCTTCCCACCACCAGTTTCAGTCTCACCCTCTGTTGACAATCAACTCTCAACAGATTATGCATGAGATAACATAGCTGCCCACGTTTAAAATGTCATCTACTACTGCTTCACAGCAACCCTGTAAAGAAGGCCAGTATTAACTGCAGGCGGGATGTTGGGCTTACTTCATCTTGCCAAAAGCTGTGGCCAAATGCATTATGAATGCATGGTGGACAACGTGTGGCCTTCCAGATACTTGCTGGTACAATGCCTGCCATCACTGATTATTCCATGTTCCAGCAGGGGCAACTGGGAGTTAGTAGTCCCAGGCAGTCCGTCTTAAGTCTAGGACTGTAGCCTAGAACTCCAAGCATAGCCCTGAATGTAGAACAGTTAAGCAGAGATGTCACGCATAGCTCCTTTGGAGGGCTTTGATTCACAGGGTCATCATAAATTGGAGGTGGCTTGATGGCACCTAACAACGCAATCATACAAAGAAGCAAAACACTCCCCAATAAATCTCAAGGCCTCACCATGTACGTTACCAAAGTCAACCCTTTACCACAACATCCATATTCCTCTGGTTTCACACATGACATTTGAAACAAAAAGGCTGGTTAACAAAGTTTGACAGATGAACCCGAGTGTTTGTTCTTCTACTCATTTCATTTCTTATAAGAAATTTCTTATAAGAAATGAAAAGTGTAGGAGGAGGACAGGAAAATGAGGGGGAATCCTTTTATCCTAATTTTGCAGTATTCTTTAGAAAATCCAGGGAGAGAAATTTTCCAAATTCCTCTCCTCCCACAACTTTTCTATTCCCCCGCACAGAGCCTCACATCTTAAAGGCAGAATTCCCTGCATTATTGGTCCGGAAAAAACCCCATACAACTCCCAGCATCCCTCTAGACAAGCGAGGTATATTTTAAAGCGTATAAGCATTTTAACTAATCTAAACAGGCACAGAATTACAGCGTGGGCCTCTCACTCAGCAAGGTTACTTTTGGGTTCCGCAGGGCTTTCTCCCAAATAAAGACTACAACCTCCTTGCACTACCGAGTGCAATCCTATGCAATTTCAGCCTGAAAAAAACACAACAATTTCTAGGTCTTTTTTCTGTCAAGATTCCGGCTAGGTTCAGTGGAGATTCCTCCCAACTGAAGGCCACACTCCACTCCCCTGGAAGCAAACTTCCTGCACTTCCAGTAGCTTCCTGACCGAAAATTATGATTATTAAATTCAGTGGGAACCAATGCAATGGTTAGAGTCCTGCGCAGGAAGGCGGGAGACCCAAGTTCTAGTCCCCATTTAGTCAGGAAGCTTAATGAGCGACTTTAGACCTGCCACTTACTCTCGGCCTGGCCAACCCCGCGGGGCTGTCGTGAGAATAAAATGCGGGAAGCCGCCTCGAGCGCCGTGGGAAAGGGGGCGGGGAAGCTGGCGGTTAAGTATGTCATGTTTAAATTATTTCACCCGCTTATTCCCCAGCAGCCAAAGCTCCCTGGGCCACGCTCGGCAAAGCACAGAGGCCGCAAAGCGGTGGGGCCACGTCCGCCACGGAGCTCCACGGGGCGCACCGCCGAGCCGAGCCGAGCCGAGCCGCCGCAGACCCTCCCACGGCACACGGGCCGCGCGGCCCTCCCCTCGAGGCCGGGCTGCTGCCGGCGCAGACGCAGGCCCCGGCCCCGGCCGGGCTGCAAGAGGGGGTGCCCCCCGCCCCGGCCCCCTTCCCCGCAGGGCGCCGACTTGCCTCTTGCGGGCGACGGCCATGCTGGCTCCTTGCGCCTCCCAGGTGGAAGCCACGTGCTCCGAGCACTTCCCCTCCCACAATGCACCGCGAGCAAAGGAACCCCGGCCCCGAAAAGCCGGCCGCGTTGATCCTTAGGTTTACGAGCCGCGGGGGGAGGGCGCAGCCTCGGGCGGGAGCAAAGCAAATCTTACGAGGAACATTGCAGATAAGTGCGGACTGGGGGATGCGGCCGAGATAAGATTCGGAATCTCGGGATGCACCTTCTGGCCTTGTTCTGTGCGTGATTCCTTGGAATTTCTGACCTACTTCCAAGGAAGTGTGCAGAGGATTTCAGCTCCGCACACTTACTCAAAAGTAAGACCCATAGCACTCAGTGGGCCTTGCACCTACACGTGCACAAGAGTATGGCTTGAGTCGGCTACTTCCTATGACTTGCAAAGAACACTTTACAAATATCCCGAGAAGACTGGATCTGTTTTCTTGTAATTTCCAGTTGCGACAGCCTTTGGCTAAACGCAGTAAGATTTGGTGAAAACAATATAAGCAGCTGGATCCTCGTATGGAAAACGTTGGGTTTTAAGTTGGCCTTGACTAGCTTAAGTCCCATTGATTTCAATGGCTCTATCCCAACGGATCAAAGGCACAGTACTTTCCTTTTTATATTTTTTTCTAACTCTTTTTTTTCTTTTCAGAAAGTACAATAAAAAGATATATAGGAAATAAGGTGCCAAGAGTCGTTCCAAAATTTAGCACGCGATATCCTCTTTTGAACACGTTTCTAATAAAAGCCTCTATCAGCCACCATCTCGATCCTATGCATTTTTAGACGGGGGGTGGGGGGATGCTTTAAACTCCGACCACATGTTATCTAAACGTACCCAAACCTAGACCCAACCTATTATGCAAAGATTTTCGGGTGCTTTATTTAGTCTGTTGTGCTCAAAAGCAGCATTTTGTTCTTGTTTTTGTTTTGTTGCAGTCTTTCCAAAGCACGGCGGAAAGGTTCTAGTCCCGTTGACCACAGGACCCACAGTTGCAAACTGCGGCGCGGGCGGCAACGTGACACATACACACGCACTATTCCAGCAATCCTTTTTATCCTTGCTGTAGATCGTGGGGAAGAGAAGAAGAAAAAGCCAAGAAAGCTCCGTTTAGCTTTGCCCCTTGGGCTGACATGTGCAAATACGAAGGGGAGTAAGGAAAGAGGGAAATCCTGCCCTTCAGAGACGTTCCCCCAACGCATCAGCTGGGGAAAGGAATTTTGTCTGTTTTTGTTTTCTGCAGGGACTAACTTTTACGAAAATCCATCAATCTGGAGAGCAAAGCGCCAGACCACGGAAAGCACCTTTGCTTTCTAGCCCTGGAGGTGTCAGCCGGGTGAGTGCGCTTTTTAAACGAGCGTTTTCCTGCCTTTTAAAATAAAGGCACTCCGTGCAGATGGCTGGGGACAGGACCGATCCCGAACAAAGCAGGAGGAGATGCGGCTGGACCGTGCCGTCCTCTGCATGGCTACTCAGGAGTATGTCCCTCTGGGGTTGCAGGGCTTACTCGCGGGTAAGTGTGCCTGGAGTGTGCAGCCCCAGCGTGGCTCACTGCGGGAGCGCGTAACGGACAGCTTCCTCGTCTCCAGTCGCCGCACTTTGAATGCAAATGCCGCATTTGTCTCGGGATGGAGACCGCCGGCGGCGGGGGCCGCAAACGCACTTTTGCCAGGCGAGAGCGCCTGTGTTTTTCCTGGGAAGCGAGTCCCGCTGCTCCCGGGAAAGCGTGCGTCAGCCTGCAACCTCCTTCCCTCTTCCCCCCATTAGTTCTCCTCAGTTATCCCTTTGCTTCTTCCAGCCGGTTTCCCGCACAGCCGCCACTCCCCAAATTCTCTCACGGAAGAGGATCTGTGATCCCCAGGGCTCGCAGCTATGCATGAATTTAAAAAACAAAATCCAGGAATACAGAATTCCGAATTTGCAGCAAGAACCGGGGGAGGGGGAGAAGGACAGAGAGTTTGCACAGGGCGAGAATGCGTTTCTTTGCAAGGAACGGAAGCGCACGCACAAATCTACCGCATTGGAGAGATCGGCCGGCAAACCAGGTCCCTTGTTATGCTTTTTGTGCTGCGGGGGGGCGGAGGCGGGGGGGGGCGAGCGGTGTCCCGGCTGGAGGGTTATCCGAGGTGACTGCCGTATTCATGAAACTGCAGTCCCTCCGTCTTCCTCGTGTAATTTTTGCTGTTGTTTTGCAAAGAGCTGGTTTATCGTTTTTCGATTTTTTTTTGGGGGGGGTGCAACATCCGTGAAAAGGCTTAGACAGAGGGAGAGGGGGTTCCGCTGCAGGTTATGCGGTCCCCCCCAACACACACACACTTTGTTCCGAAAAGCTCCAGTTGCAGTAGCAGAGACGCCCTGCATTGCTGTTCCCCGGAAAAGATCAGATGTTTATTTATTTATTTTGAATTTAAGGAGGCGCTGGGAGTTCGCTTTGCTGGGAGCAGTTTTCTTTTGTTCCCCCGCCCTGCTTGCCTCTTACCATTAGATATCCGAGCAGGAGTCGGTTCTCTCCCGCCCCCCTGCATCTCCCCCGTTTGCGTCAATCGCAGCCCTCCGGAACAGGGAAGCGAGGGCCAGCAACCTGGACACAAAGAAAACTTCTCTGGTCATCCTTCCCTTCTCCAGGCTCAGAGTCGACTCCCTCTCTAGGCTGCAGAATGAGGGAGGTCCATGGACCGAAGTCAGTTTTGGAGGAGTATTAGCAGGGGAAAGAGAGGCTGGACGTGAGAAAAACGTTTCCAGCCTGGCCCTTTGCCGGTACATCTGGGAATATGGTGGATTGTGGTCGAGGGATGGAGGTCGGACAGGAGATGCTGTCCTCTTGCACAGCAATACCCCTCCTACCTCCAGTTTGATAACGTGTCTGCCACATTCACACGTTATGTTTTGAATCCGATGCTTGCAGCATCTTTCTTACTGCTGAAGGGACTGGATGGGGGGGCTGTGTGTGTGTGTGAAGAGCCCCCTACAAGGAACATGACAGCAGCATTGTAAAACAGCCCTTCTCTTTCATGCCTACACACCTACAAGCTTCGCACTGGTCTGAAGTTATCTAATGTGCCGTGCATCCAGGCGGGTCTGTTTATTTTTTCCCCAAAATGGTGTGCGATGTAAGAATACTGCCGATTGCCCCAGTTTGCTGCCCTGTGCTGGATTGCAATCCCCACACTGACTGGGGATTATGGGAGTTGTATTCCGACACATTTGGAGTGGGGAAGTTTGGTGTTCTGTTAAGAATAACATAAATCAGTAAAGGTTCTGACAAGCCCAAAGCACCCATCTCTACAGGAAATTGCCCACTGCATTTCTGCTGCCTTCCTCTCAGTCAGGTCAAATTTCCTTCCGTCCTTTATTTTGTACCTTCTCTACCAAAAAGGGGAAAAGGCACTCAAGACGGCTGTCTGCCTCCAGAGGAGGTTTCGCTTGTGCATCTGCGTGAGTCCCTGCTCTGAGCTTGCCTTCTGCAACAGATGGGAGTGGGTCACTTTCTCTTGATAGAATCAAGAGATTTCACTTTCTCTTGATAGAGATTCTTGTAAAGTTGCCCATTCTGGGGAGGCTGCTCATTGGGTACCTGCATGAGTCCTTGTTCTGCTTTTGCCTTCTTCCCCTCTATCTCTGCCGAGGGGTGAGTAATGCCAACGCATCTCTGCATCAGGTGTGGCTGGTCCACAGGCGTCTTCAGAAGCTGTTTTGGGTGCTCAAACGATGGATAATGAGAGCGTCCGCAATATGGGTGCCACCAGGCCTTGGCCTATTGTTCTGGGGCCTCGTTTATTCCTGCCTCCACATGTCCAAATTTTAGGCCCGCTTTCCCCAGTTGGGAACTTCCATGCATGTGGGATTCGCCATCCAGCACACTCGGCCAGGCCACTGAGCTGGGGAAGACGGCTCCAAGATGGTTAGCCTGGAGGGCAGTGGATTTCCTTTTGCACTTGGAAAATGGCCACTGCCCAACACATCCGGAGAGTGCAGGAGTGTAAGCCTCTTGGGGCGGGGAGCTAGCGGGCACATGAACATCGCCGCAAGCTTGGTTGACTCGCTGAGTCCTGCAGCGTCCTGCTGCTCTGTAGCCCCGGCACATCCTGCCCGTCCCTGCGCCCGGCTTCGCGGCCCATGTCGCAGTTGCTGGGCTGCGTGGGCTGCTTGTCGGCTGAGTCCTTCCGTCCTGCAAAATGTCAGATTGAACCCTACTGCTGGTGTTGGAAGCTACCTATGTTAGCAACAGTGGGTGATTAATCCCATGGCTTGCGTCATGTCCTTTATAACAACGCGAGCTATTTTTAGGACAGTTTGGTTTGAGGGTTTGCAAAAAAGAGAGGGAGGGGGAGAGGGAGGGGGGAGTTTGCTTCCATAGCAGACTGGGTGGGAAACCGCACCTGAGGTTAGAACCTGGCAGTTGGGCAGGAATTTTACAAAGAATGCACTGCGATGGAGGTGAGGGCAGAACCTGATAGATAATATCCAGGCTCTGAGGATGGAATTTGCAGAATAGTATTTAAGTGCCTCTGAGCATATGCAGAGGTTGTTTCCCTCAGCACCTGCTGTGCTGGCACACAGTGCTAAACCAGGCTTTAGCAGGACAAGAGCAAGTGATCCTATGCTTTTCAAGCATATACAGACTTCTTCTCTTCTGGAGCAGTTGTCCAGAGTTCAGAAATGCTTTTTCTTCCCATTTTTATGATTGTTATTACAATGCACGTTTATATCCTAGCTTTTTTCTTTTTGTGAGAAACCCAGGGCCACTTAACCTAGCTTCATTTTATCCTCACAACAGCAACAACAACCCTGTGAGGTAGGTTAGGCTGAGAGTGAGTGGCCAGTCACCCAAAGTCAGCTACATGGCCGAGTGGGGACTAGGACCCAGGTCCCCAGTCCAACACTCACCACCGCATTGCACTGGATCCCAAAGAAAGGAAGTCTTCTAAAACTCTGAGAGTATTAGAAGCAGTGCTGGTTTGTTGTTGTGGCAGCTGAACCTAAATAAATGGTAGTTTATCAGGATGCTGTGTGTGGATGGCGCTGGTTGGGCTGTGTGAGCAAAGTCGCTCCCCTCTGGACCGTAGAAATGGAGAGAAAGAGAGGCGTTATCGTTACGTGTTTGTTCTGATGTTTTATGGATGGCATACAAAGAAAAGCTGAGATCCGTTCTTCTCCGGCTGGCAAGAAACTCTGCTCAACCTTTCTCATAACCAGACCTTTCACTGGTAGACAAAAGAGTAGGCAAAACTGTAGCATCGCAAGCAGCCCCACGGTTTCATAATGAGTCTGAATTTGGGAGTGGGAGGGCACCAGCTCCCAGGGGCACTCAGTCACCCACCATCGCCTCTCCAACTCTGTGGTTTCAGAATCCAGGAAAGCTCCTGGAGGTACGAGGAGTAGCCCCGGGGTGTCTTAATCCCAGACAAATCTCTCTTTTCAAGGCCTAGCCTAGTGACTTTTGGCACCCTGACACCTCAGCTGATGCTGTGCAGCATGGGCTTGGTGTTTCCAAATGGCACCATCTCCTTCAGCAGGTCTTCCGGAAGAGGCCCTTTCACGGATGGTGAGTCTTCTCAGGCCCTTCTCCAAACGTCCCGTGCTGTCCCTCGTGTGACTGAACCGTGGCAGCTCCTCAAAGGCATCTGCAGACCATCCGATGGATTTGGGATCTCAGAGCTGGGACCTCCTGGGCAGATGGTCCCGAGTCACTGATGGTCTCGGAGAGGCGGGCGTCGCAAGCTGCAGAGTGTTGCAGAACTCCTCTTTAGAGACAAGATTGCTGCGCCTCTTTCATGTCTTCCACAGAAGCTTTAGGGGCCTCGCTAGTCTGTGAGACACCTTGAAAGGGATTGGCTGGAAGGCCACAGATTTCATTCCTCCTGCCCCCCTTCCCTCTTTCTCAACCGGCTTTCTTTTGCTGCTTTTAGATTATAAGCTCCTTGGGAGCGGAGACTGCTCTCTCTCTGTTTTAGTTTCTGGCACCCTACAGCAGGCGCATTGAACGGCCTTTCAGCCCAGGAGGTGAATTCAATCTTGGACAAGTTCCCTGGGGCTGCAGTGGGTCAGGCCAGCAGCAGAAGCGAGGGGAAGGGCCAGAGTTCCCACAACGGCAGCACATTGTCACTGAGCTGCCAGGAATGAGGCTCTCGAAAAGAGCTTTCAGCCTTTTCGTTTGGGGAAGAGAGCTGCACAGAGGCCAGGAAACCTTTGGTGAGCAGAAGAAACGGGGTGGGTCCTTTTGAAGGCGATGTGGCCCTCCGGGTCCCTTGAGGGCCAGAATTGATTCCCAGGTCAGAGTTACTGTGCCCATTTCTAAAAACATTCATGCTCTGCACCCAAAAAGCGGGGCGGAGGAGACAAAAGCATCCTTTCTAACTACTAAAGCCTTACCTGCCGAACTCAGGCTGGTACGGGATTGGGCGGGGGAAGAACCTGGCCTTCCCTCCAGCAGTCGTAATTATACCGTGCGATTCCACCACCGCAAACTTTGCAAACATTAATTAACAAGCCCACTGTGCATTATGCCTTCTTGGAAGCCTTTTAACTTTGCAAGCTTTGCTCTTTCCATCTCTCTAGCACGTTCCACGGCGTGTGGGCGGCTGTCAGGAGCTGCATCCGTTCCGTCGGCGCTTTCCCTTGTTCCAGACGGAGATGGGAGTTCCCACTCCTCTGCCGGAGGAAGCACCCTGCACCCTTTTGAGCTTTCTGTTTTCAGTCTGCCAGGAAACTCGAGATCTCGCTGCCTCTGCATGCATCTGTCGATCGGATGGAGGGAGGCGTTTCAGGTTTTGCGTCTCATCTCCCCGTTCCAGCACTGTCTTGGTCGACACGACCACAAATTCCCTCCCTGTCTGTCTCTCTTGCAAGTCTATGTCTGGTTTTTGGCAAGAACAAAGTGAATAAATTCCTCTTCCCAGCTGAGGGCCAGTTATTTTTAGACAAGCTCACACTTCCGCATGTACCCCTTGCTGTCAGGGATGTGTAGGTGATGGAGAGGAATCCCAAGGCCTGGCTAAGTCTCTGTGTGCAAACTACAAGGGGCACGTGAGAAAGAGAGAAAGATTAATTGCCAGTGAGCAACGATGGGCAGCCCGGAGGCCATCATGCTGAATGGCTTCTAATGGCACCTTCTAATGGTTATTCTTGCCACATGCTGGTGATTAGGGTGGGGCGTGCCAGTGCCAGATCTGGGCTGGCGAGAGCCCCCGGCCTCTGTAAGGCGGTCTTCTGCCCTCCACGTTCTCCCTTGCTCAAACTCCTCTTCTGTTTAGGACTTGAAGGGCAGAGATCTAGCAGAAAAGTCAGCCGTGCCCTCTTGTTCCTCCTCGCCGCCACCACTGCCTGCAAGAGGGGAAGGGGATCGGGCCGGCCGCTGCTGAGCAACAGGCCTGCCTCGTCTCAGTCTCTGAAAACTGCTTGTCTTTCTCGCTCCAAATCAGAGGCTGCCGTCATTTATCGGGTGTAAAAAGCGAAATAGTCTGGTACATGCCATGAGCCTTCCGCAGTAGAAAAACAGCACTAACATGATAAAATGTCGTTATGTGTATATTAATATAAGATATTTGAGCCGGCTCTGAAAATGCATTCAGTCAGCTCTTCAGCAATGACCTCAGAGTGGCGTAGAATGAAGTAAGAAAGATCACAGCTGAAGGAACGACCGATCTGGGAAGGTTCCCTCTTTGGGACTGATCGGTTGTGGGTGATGCACAAGGAAGAAGGGATTCTGTGGATTTTCTCCCATGTAAAGCAGACGATATTCTGGCTTTGGATTATAAATGGAAAAAATAATGTTTCTTTCTTCTCTTAAGGCATAAATCAAAGGATTGGTTGGCTTTCTGAGCGGCCAGTGTTGCGTAATGGGCAAAGTGCTGGACTAGGACTTGGGAGGATCCGGGTTCGAGTCCCCGCTCAGCCACGGAGCTCACTGTGTGGTGTTGGGCCAGTCCCTGACTCTCAGCCTAACCTGCCTCACAGGGTTGTTGTGCGGATGGACTGGAGAAGAGAATGAGGAAGATTATAGACTCTGGCTGGGGCTCCTTGCAGGAAAAAAAAGCACGGTTTAACTGTAATTGGAATGCAGATCCGGCCTCTTGTTGGAATGACTTTAATCGCTGTCCATCTTCTTCCGCAGAGAGGCGGAGAGGGCGCTGCCGCGCGTCAGGAACGACCCGCCCGCAGCCATGGAGACCGGCATGCAGCTCCTGAGCCGGGACGGCCACAGCGTGTCGCACAACTCCAAGCGCCACTACCACGACGCCTTCGTCTGCATGAACCGCATGCGGCAGCGGGGCCTGCTGTGCGACATCGTGCTGCACGTGGCCGCCAAGGAGATCCGGGCCCACAAAGTGGTGCTCGCCTCGTGCAGCCCCTACTTCCACGCCATGTTCACCAGCAAGTACCCCCCCACCCCTGGCCTCCTCTGGGGCCCCAACGCCGTGCGCCTCGCCGGGGCTGAAGGGGCCGGGCCTGCGCTCGGCCGCACGCCTCCTTCCGAGGGCCGGGCGCTCTCGCTGCCCCCGCACGCCCCACGAAGGGCCCACGCCGGTTCTCTTTGCCCCCGCAGACGAGATGAGTGAAAGCCGGCAGACTCACGTGACGCTGCACGATATTGACCCGCAAGCGCTGGAGCAGCTGGTCCAGTACGCCTACACCGCCGAGATCGTGGTGGGAGAAGGGAACGTGCAGGTCAGTGCTCGACTGCCGGGAGAGGACTCTGCGCCTGCCCTTTAGAGGCGGCACGATCTTCCCGGAGCCTGAGAAGTTCCGCAGGCCGGACGGAGGCGTGCCAGCGGTTCTTTGCCCCGATCTGTAGGCGGGCCACACACGCGGCATATCCTTGGTGTATCTCTACCTTTGTCTCTCGCACAGAGCCGTAGGCAGCGCACACGACCTTCCTCCCACCGTCCGTTTTATCCTTGCGGTGCCCCGTGAGGTGGGCTAAGCTGAGACTGGCCCGAGTCCACGGCTGGTCCAAGTCACGGCAGGAGCTCCATGACCGAGTGGGAGCTCAGATCTGGATCTCCCATGCCCCAGCCCCCAGAATTCCCCGCACCTCACTGTACCGGCTATGCAAATATGTCCATTTAAAACCAGGCTGCTGTTTTGGTTGGAAGTCTGACAGGGCCTCGAGGGCCGTTCCCTCTGCGTGGCCGCGTCCCGACTGCAGGCTGAGCCGGGCGCACTGGGAGCGGCCTCCCTTGGTCCCTCCAGGCCGATGCCGCTGGCTGGCAGCAGCCGCCCTCTGGACTTTTAGGATGGATTTTTCCTGCGCTACCTGGCGAAGCCGGGGATCAGATCAGGGGCTTCCAGCACGCAAGCAGGTGGTCCGCTGCCTGAGCTACATGGGAGCTCTCCCATTGTTCAGCTTCTGAGGAGCCCACGCCAGGTTTCTGTGAAGCGTGTTAGAGAGGAGAGCTGTTGCCTATAGCTTCAGACCTTGGCTCAGCACAGCCGGTGTCCCGCATGATGCGGCCATTAATGGAAATGACACCATGCTAACGCAAGCTGCATCGAGCGCCTGGCAAAACCGCTTGCAGACTTGACGGGTCTCCCCAGAAAAGCCACCGTTTCGGCGAGCGCTGTTGTCGTGGCGTGAGGGGTGGCTTAAGCCAGGGCAATGACGTAGTGCAGGGGTGTGTGGCAGAGCCCGGTTCTCCCAATCTCCTTTGGGGTTGTGGCAGGAGCAGAGCCTGGTTTTGCCGTCACGGCCGGTTTGGCAGGACTTGGGGGTATTCCGGACCGCGGGAGGGCACCCCTGCGATGCCCGCCACCTTTTTTCTGCCCTTACAGACACTGCTTCCGGCCGCCAGCCTCCTGCAGCTGAACGGGGTGCGAGACGCCTGTTGCAAGTTCCTGCTGAGCCAGCTGGACCCCTCCAACTGCCTGGGCATCCGGGGTTTTGCAGACACGCATTCCTGCAGCGACCTGCTGAAGTCGGCCCACAAGTATGTCCTGCAGCACTTTGTGGACGTCTCCAAGACCGAAGAGTTCATGCTTCTGCCGCTCAAGCAGGTAAGAGATGCTCGGCCCCCAGGTCAAACCCAGACCCTCTGCAGCTGGGAGAGGAGCGGGGTGCGTGTGTGTGTGTTTGTATTGTTGTAGTGCTTGTCTCTGCATCTGCTCTGGCTTCATCCCGGCACTGGGATCTGAGCTCCGCACAAAATGTTCCTCCATTCCTACTTTTCTGCTCTAGGCAGAGTTGAGCTCTAGAGACTGAGTCCAAATACACCGAGACAAGAGCATCGTCGCCCTGCTTCTCAGCACCCTCAGTATGGCCTGCTGGAAATTGCAGGCTGCAGAAAACGAATCTCTGCGCATTTTGCTTGCGTTGCTGCGGGATGATTGGAGTCTGCTTCATCCCCTGTCTTTCCCCCCGCTTTGGTTTCAAAGTGACCGGGCTTTTTGTTTCCCCAGGTTCTGGATCTGATCTCCAGCGACAGCCTTAACGTGCCCTCGGAAGAGGAGGTCTACCGAGCTGTCCTGAGCTGGGTGAAGCATGACGTGGACGGCAGAAGGCAGCATATCCCCCGAGTAGGTGGCTCTGCGTGGGAGGATGGCCTGGCTGTGGACCCGGGCCTCTTTCTGAGCCACAGAGCAAGGATTCCTGCTGCGCAAAGGGTTAACTCTCCCTTTCCCACAGACTGGAGCGCCCCCTCCAGGAAGAAAGCATCTGCCCCTGCAGGGCGCTCAAATGTGGCAGCAAAGTTTCCCATTGGTTTTGGGGCACGGGGCAATTTAACGGAAGAATGTGTTTGATTTGAGAAGGTTGGGCTATGGAAGGAACTGGCACCCTTTGCCTGCTCATTGCTTCTGGGCCGGCTTCCGTGGATATCGACCAGTTTTGTGCAAATCTGTGCCCTTTTCTTGTAGCTTGGCCTCTGTGGAGCGGAGCCCAGCGTCTTTCGAGTGGCTGCCCCCCCGCTGGCTCTGTACCTTCCTCCTGGTTCTTTGCGTGACGTGAGAAAACGTGATCACGAACAAGTGGGCACTTATGCGTGGCCGCCCCGTGGCTGCTTGAGCAACGCTGCACAATCTCCTCTCCTGATGCAGTTACTGAGTCCCCCCCCACCCCCCGTTTCCCCCTTTCTGCTCCTTCCCCAGCTCATGAAGTGCGTCCGGCTTCCCCTCCTGAGCCGCGACTTCTTGATGAGCAACGTGGACACGGAGCTGCTCGTGAGGCACCACTCGGACTGCAAGGACCTCCTCATCGAAGCCCTCAAGTACCACCTGATGCCCGAGCAGCGGGGCGTGCTCAGCAACAGCCGGACCCGTCCCCGGCGCTGCGAGGGGGCCAGCACGGTGCTGTTCGCCGTGGGTAGGTGAAGCCCCGAGAGCGGGGGAGCTTTGGGAGGGGCGGTGGGCCATGAAGGAGCAGTCCTCGGGACGCGCGGGGCCACGGGGCACTCCCCTGGCCTGCTGAGGAGTCGGTCTCCCAGGAGGGCTGAATCGGCTGGCTGGGCTGCTTCTGTCTCTGGGAGCTTCCAGACGTATCCTTGGTTGGATTTATACCCACCTGTCTATCAGGAGCAACTCACCGAAAGATATAAAGAAGGAAGCGCCCGAATGCAATAAAAGCCTAACAGTTACTGAACGAAGAGTCCCGCTTGCAGGTGTCTTGAATAAAGCGGGTTTTGCTGTTGGAAGGAGAGCAGAGCGGGTGTCAACCCGGCCTCCCTTGGGGAAGGGCCCACCCCCAGAAGAGCTTAAGGACTTGGTTTGCTCATACAGGGAAGGTGGTCTTTCAGGCAGCCCCCCAGGCGACACAGGGCTGTATAGGTCACAACCAGCACATACTGCCTTGTGTCTGGGAACAGGCAGGCTGCCAGGGGGCCGCACACTCCCTAGGACTGGCCCCCGTGAATGGTCCGGCTGCAGCGTTCTCGACCTGCTGCAGCTTTTGCAGTCTTCAAAGGCAGCCCCATGTTGCAGGAGTTCGAACAGGGTGTGACTAAGACAAGTGGATCTTTAGCCAGACAAAAGACAGAGCAATTCTGCCTTTTCCTCCTAGGCGTCTGCCTGGACACTGGGATCAGTCCCTGAGGCCCACCTTCGAGCCCCTCCAAGGGAAGCGTGGAGGATGCCAGCCACAGAGAGGGCCTTTTCAGCAGTGGCTCCTCAGCCCCAAAATGCTTCCTCCAGCGAGGTTCATGTAGCACCAAGACTGCCGTATTTTAGCATCCAGTTTAGGTTGTCCTAGGCAGGGTATGATAGGGCTTTCATGTCCGTTGTTGTTGGCAAGCCTGAGTCTTCCGTTGCAGCTTATTTTTGACGTTTTGTCTGTTAAGCATTTCATATCAGGCCGTAGCCCGGCAGTGTCCTTCTGCAAACTAAAACACCTGTGGCAGGTCTTTCCCTAGCGCTTGTGGCTGCACCTTGGCGCTTGCACCGCTTCCCGTACGCCCCAAATTCTGTCGGCTTCCGACCAGCGCCGCTCTTCCTGCAGGTGGGGGCAGTCTGTTTGCCATCCATGGAGACTGCGAGGCCTACGACACGCGGACGGACCGGTGGCACATGGTCGCTTCCATGTCCACCCGCCGGGCCAGGGTGGGCGTTGCCGCCATCGGGAACAAGCTGTATGCTGTGGGCGGGTAAGCAGGAGAATCCCGTTCCCATGCTCCCCAGCAACTGGTGTCCGGTGGCACACTGCCTCTGAACCTGAAGGTTGCATGCGGTCATGGTGACGAGTAGCCCTGGAGAAGAAGGCCACTCACCTTTCCAAGCCATCGTAAGTCAATTAGCATTGACTACGGAGTACCAAGTTCTGTAGTTCAGCATCTGTGTGATATGAAGAAGACCGTTTTGTCTGTCCTGATGCTCCTGCTAATTGGATGACCCCCAATGCCTACGATTATGTGAAAGGGAGACAAATATCCCTCTTTCTCCCCACCTTTTCCAAGCCACACTTGATTTGATGTAGGTTAAGCGTCCCCATTGAGTCACCATTTTTGCAAAACGAAAAGATCCCCAACTTGACTGAGTTCCTTCAGCTCCCGACATCCTGATCATTTGGGTTGCCCTTTCTGGGCTGCCCTCCAAAGCTTGCATTTCCTAAAGCTCTGCTTCACCACAGCTATGATGGAACGTCCGACATGGCCACGGTTGAATCGTACGACCCCGTCACCAATTCCTGGCAGACGGAGGTGTCCATGGGGACCAGACGCAGCTGCTTAGGAGTGGCCGCCCTGCACGGCCTCCTGTATGCTGCCGGAGGATATGACGGGGCCTCGTGTCTCAACAGGTAAGAAGCATCTGTTGCTGGTCTCTCTGCACTCACTTAGTCACTATAGTACTGCTACCCATAAACTTAAATATTATTGCAGCATTTAATGAATCAAATCCAGTTTTGTGGGGGGGGGGCTACTGCATATTTTACTTCTCCAGGCAATGCCAGTGCTTGACCATGTGCTGTTTTCCTTCTCCCTTGACCGCACTCAGCGCCGAGAGGTACGATCCCCTGACAGGCACCTGGACCTCTATTGCTGCAATGAGCACCAGGAGGAGATATGTGCGCGTGGCAACGCTGGGTAAGATCGGCTTGCATGTTCAAGGCAGGGCTGGAGGCTCTGCTTGCGAAAATGCGCCGTGTGTTGGGAGTGAGAAAGAGGGCTGCTTTGGGCGTCCTCAAGGGCTGCTGGCAGGAATTCAGAAGAATCCGAAGGGGAGGGAGAAGGGGGAGAGGAGTGGAGGGGCTGGGAAGGCAAGCCATCCAAGACACCGAGAGAAGCCGATGCGATTATCTCTGGGCCAGACTCCCCAGGTGGGCAGGCAGCCTCTGGGAAGAACCACTAGAGCGGGTTCAGCAAAGTGCTCTGTACACGCTCAGAGATTCTTTCTGGGTGTTTGTGCTTTTGGTCAATAAAGAACACTTTGCAAGGAAAAGGTCTGTGGCATTGAATGTAAGGAGGAAAAACCTTAGCCCCCGAGAGCATGCCACCTTCAAAGCTCTGAATACAAGCATGACGCCTATCTGCCCAAAAAGGTCAGAGATGGGCCTCCACACGCGTCCTTTTCAACACTCCGCTGGATTGGTGCAAAGCTCCAAATTTGGGCAGATATCCTCTGTGGAGCGAATCGGCCCCACTTGAGCCTGGGGGGCATGTTTCTGCAAAGGGGGAGGGCATGGGCACTCCTTCGCCGCTTGGTTTGTGCGATTTTCCTGTCCGCACAAAGCAAGCGGTGATGGCAAGTGGGAATTAGGCTCAAGACAAGCAGTAAGACGGTGCCCGGAAGATCCCGGTGCGCTTGATCCGTGCGCCTTCGTTCGCCCACCCCTAGGCAAGAACGAGGGACTGTTGTGGTGACTCACAGTGCGAGAACGCAAAGGGGCTGTCGCGTGAGACTGAGCAGTGGGAGATTCAGGGCTGATCGGAGGAAGGACTTCTGCACTGCCGTAGCTAAACGTTAGGATTCACGTCCACAAGATGCTGCGATGGCCGTTAATTTAGATAGCTTAAAAGGGGCCTGGACAAATTCACGGAAGAGAAGGTTGTCGGTGCTGATCGGAAAACAAGCTTAATCATAAGAGCTTTATTCATTTTGAGGGCAGGCCAATACTTTTTCTTTACCCAGCGTTTTACTGGTTGAATGGTTTTTATTATACAATACAGAATTGTTTTTACTGTGTCTTTTTATATATTGAAATTATATTATCTAATGTGCTGGTCCTGTCTCGGTTTTGTAAGCTGTCTTGAGATCCGCCTGAGATATAGATGGGCTAAAAATGTTTTAAATAAAGCAAACGTTCTGTCTGCAGGTAGGTGCTCTCCCCCTGAACGCACACAAAAGCTATTTCTGCATATCGAAAACTAGCCCTTGAAGGGGGAAGGGTCCGTCCTACCTTTCTCCCCAGTTTTCTGTGCACACGGATAGCCCAGATGCCACCTGCCCACTTGAGCAGAACAAATGGGAATCTCTTTCCAGCCCGCTCCCTCCATTTCGTTCCGTTTCTGAACAGCTTGTGCTTTATTTCCTTTGTGAACCATCTCCTGACTTCACTTTGCAGGCGTGATCTGTCCCAGTCGTATGAGATACTAAAAATCACGTGCACACAGGCTGTATGTTCAATGTGTCCTACGGTCGTCGTACATTTTCCCTCCGGTTTAAAAACCGAAGTGAAAAAAGTGAACCCGACTCTGGCTCTGCAGCTAAATGTGGACTGTGTGATCCACATTTGTGTTGTGTTCTTTGGAAAGGTCTTCTGGGGAGTTGCACTGAGTGTGTGTTTCCGGGCGGGGCTTTTGCATCCCGTTGTGCTCCTTTAAGTTTGTGTGTGTGCATTTTCACCCCTCGCTGCAGAAGGCAACCTGTATGCCGTTGGAGGGTATGACAGTTCGTCGCACTTGGCAACAGTGGAGAAGTACGAGCCACAGGTAAACAAGAAGCAGCTCTGGGAACTTGTTGGTAGGTTGCAGCTAAGCTCCGAGGAAACGGGTTGTGGGGCTGTGCCAGACACTGTCAGCATCCTTGCTTGCGTCCCTGGGGTGCAGTGCACCACTGTGAGGGGTCGGCATGAGTTGACTGTGGGTTGCTGTTGGGTTACGAGTTACCGTGTTGTCTGAACCCAGCTAACAAAACATGGTGAGCGACCCGGAGTTCACAACCCAACAACAAATCATGGTTTCTCTTCATGGGTAGTTCATGGTTAACAAGCCATGCTTTGTTAGCATAGCTGGACCTAACCAACACAAGAAGCCTAACTATGGCTAGTGAGAACAAGCTAGGATCAAACCATGATTCCAGATCCTGGCTTATTCTCAGACCAGTTTTTCAAACAAATCACAGTTCTCTGTTTGGACACCACAAAGAACACTGGTTAATTTTGGCATCAAAACTTATCCACCTTGCGGGTATGAAAAGAGGAGGGGAGCAGTGGATCCATATGAACATCTCTATGTACAGTGACCTCCTGAAGCAGAACAACTAGTATCACTGTGGTTTGTCACTTCAGAGATCATTTCAGAAGCCAGAGCAGAGTTAACACAAAGCCTTGTTTGCAACTCTTCTTCAAACCATGGTTTCTGAATCTGTCCAGCCAGCCAAATCCAAGCTATGGTTTTTCAGTTCAGACATCACACCAAAACATAGCTGGAGAATATCTATGAACACCGAGGAGTGGCGAGGAAGGATTCTGTTGTCCTGAAGTGTTCAGGAAGGCTATTTTGCTTCTTCCCACTAGATCAATACGTGGACGCCAATTGCCAACATGCTAAGTCGCCGCAGCAGCGCTGGTGTAGCTGTTTTGGAAGGGATGCTCTATGTGGCAGGGGGCAATGACGGGACCAGCTGCCTTAACTCAGTGGAGCGCTACAGTCCAAAAACCAACACATGGGAAAGTGTGGCACCCATGAACATCCGGAGGTAGGGAATAGCTGTCTCAAAGAGGGAGTGAGGCCAAGCAACCGTATGGGTGCCATCACTCCTAAGGCCCTGCTCCTAGTAACCTCACACCCAATTCAGGCAGTGAGGGAATCTGGAGTGTGACCCTCTGAGGTTGGGGCACCTGAAAGGGATAATATAGGGAGACGTGGTCCTTCCAAGTTGCAGCCTGCAACCATTTAGGGCTTTAGAGAAAAGAACAAGGACCCTTGAATTAAGCCTGGAAACAAATAGGTGATTAACTGCTGAACAAATAGATCCAGGCAGTAATTGAACTGAAACCAGTTGAATATCTGACTGGTTTTCAGTGTGTTGTATTAATGGAAGGCTTAGAGCTGGAATACCGGGCGGCTTTCTGCCTGATGGCTGAATTTCATGCCGGGAAGCTCCCGAGGGCCCTCCGTTCAGGGAATGGAGCTTTAAGCTGCCAGTAACACTGTAGCTTAAAGCTCTTGCTAAGGGGCATAGAAGGCTGCCCTATTCTGCATCGGGACTTCGGTCCACCGAGCCCAGTATCACTGACACTAACTGGCAGCAGCTTTTCAGAGTTCCAGGCAGGGGGCCTCAGCTCTCCGCCAAGGGGTCACTAACCTTCATCTTGTCGTCTTGCCAGGAGCACCCACGACTTGGTGGCCATGGACGGCTGGCTGTACGCGGTCGGCGGCAACGACGGCAGCTCCAGCCTCAACTCCATCGAGAAGTACAACCCGCGCACGAACAAGTGGGTCGCGGCCTCGTGCATGTTCACCCGTCGCAGCAGCGTGGGCGTCGCTGTGCTGGAACTGCTCAACTTCCCGCCCCCTTCCTCGCCCACCCTGTCGGTGTCCTCGACGAGTCTTTGACAAAGAGTCCGGGCACACCTCGGCTCGCGGGGACTGCAGCATCTGCTGGAGCGCCAAGCCGGCCTGGCCTGACCCCTGTGGCAGCCACTCTCTGTGAAGAGAGAGAGAGAGAGAGGGCACACCATGAAGGCCCAGAGATGCTGCACTGAGACCCTTTTAGAAGTAACCTTCCCCCCCCCCCCCCCGGGGGCCCGCTCCCGGCTCTTGTGGTGCAGCTCCGAGGCTGGATCCAGTCCACAAGTCCTTGCAAGCAAGCAAGCAAGCAAGCAAGAGCCCGCTTGGTTTTCGCCATCCGTTCCATCGTGACTCCACTGATCCGCTCTGCTCCTTGCGGCGCGGACTCAGCAACCTCCCGTCTCCCCACAACCCTGTATGACCTTCTGGCTCCGGCCCTCGGGCAGCCGAGCTGCAAAGAAGCGACAGCAAAACGCAGGAACAAACCGAACCTGCCTCGGTGGGCAGGGGGGCCACTCTTGCAGGCTGTGCCAACAGCTGGAATGTAAGCTGTGAATGTCACACTTAAGCCAAAACTCCTTACCGAGCCTATAGCGCACTGTTAAAAGACTACGAGGCCCATGCCTCTCTCGCTGGTGTTTATTGGAAGGGATGCCTTAAAACACAAACCAAACAGGGCTGGGCGAGGACTGCCATGCGGCGGGTCCTCCAAAATTCTCTGTGCTCCCTCGTTCTAGAAACCTGGTTATGTGTCCCCACGCCTGACATTCTCTTGCCCCCTTGGACGGCACAGGTTCGGGAGCACCCACCGACCTTTGCTTTATTCCTCGTTTTTCTCTTCCACGCCCCCCCCCCGCCAACCTCCCTGCCTGTGGGAAGATCCTCATCATTCCCAAGTCTTCTCTAGGATCGTACTCTGATGCGGGTTAGCAGGGTGAAGCCAGGGTCACAAACCGCATGTCTGTTCGTGCTGTTCTGTATGCGTTCCCTTTTATTTCCATGCCTGTATATTAACATTCTTTTTAACTTTTTAATTTTCCAGCAAATTTGGTATTCTGCTACCTCCATCCTCCCTCCCTCCGTTTAGTTATTTATTTACTTATTTATTTACTTACTTATTTATTTATTTTTACGGGGGAGGATGGCAGAAAGGCAGAGAAAGTAGCACTTCTTTAAAATGAAAAGTGGCATTTCTTTAAAAAAAGCAAAACAAACGCGAAGAGAGAGAGCAACGGCCGCCAGTCAGTGAGGTGCCATTGATGTGACGGAGAAGCATAAAAGCTTCGTTGAACTCGTAGGGGGAATACGCAGCAATACGGGGCCTTTCGTTGGAGACGACGGAGATCTGCAATAACCTATTTGGACGAGCCCCATGCGTCCCGAATGCTCATGTACGCAGCCCATGCCTCGCAGGACGCGACAGAACGGCCCCCATTCGTTTTGGGGGGGCTCTGTACCAGCCCCCATCCAGTCCGTGTTCTTTTCGCTGCACGGTTGTGCCAGCCCCATTCGTGTGAGGCTCGTGTGCCGTTCCCAGTCACTTTAGTGTAGCATCGCACAAGTTCTGTTCATTTTAGTGGGGATTCTGTGCTCGTTGAGTTTGCTTCAGTGGTGCTAGCGGCGGGAAATGCTGCTTGTGGCTCGCGACAGGTGCAACTGGACTTGGAAAGATTTTTGTTGCAAAAGCTGGCATCTATCCTATGTGAAAGAATGGGCAACGAAGCAAAAAAAAAATGCCATATATGTTAACAATCTGCACTGAAACAGCCGAAGTTGCCACGTGGACCTCCTATGGGGAACACAAGGAACGCCCCGAGTCAAGTTTGTACTGTAAACCCCGACCGTTTCTTTGAGAAAGACCCACCGGTACCATGAAAACCTCTCTTTGTGGGAAGGAGCAGGTTGCTTAAAGACTCGTTTAAATGCATGATGCACTCTCCCTTCTGTGATCTGTGCACAGCTCAGAACTTGGGGGCAGGTGAGTGGGCTGGAGCTTCAGAGCCAGGCTCTGCCTTCAGCCACAGTCCGTTACAACCAAGCTCATGTACCTCAGTGGCCTCGGGGACGTCGTTCTGAAATCATGGCCTAGCAAAAGATACTTTTCTTTTTAGATATAATTTAGTCACCTTGTTATCTGATCTTTTTTTTGGTTCCTCTCCCCCCGTTCTTTCTTTCTGGACTTCCTCCCTCTCTTTCATCAGTTTGGTTCTGCCACAAATATGACAGCTATGCTAACTTGGGTTTTGTTGGGAAAAGGCAACCGGTAGGGCTCTTGGCATGCTCAGACAAGGCAGAATTGGTGCTTCTCTTGCCCTGGTGATGGAAGATGGGACACGGGGCTTAAATAACACCGGAGATCAGCCAGGTTGGACGGATGGTTTGTGCTAGTTCTTTAACTCAAGGGTTGTAACAGAAAGGAGTCCCAGAGCTTCCTGGCCACATGGTATGGTGCCTGAAAGGTATTTTAATTCTGAAGCCCTTTGACCCGCCTAGCCCATCATGCAGACCAAGTTGTTCAAAGAGCACATTTTGGGAAAAGAGTGCTTATAGAAGTCCCCCGAAAACCCCTGAGCGCTCAGAATTGCAGCCCTTCCCCCTGCAAACTTCATCAGGGCCTTGCTAGCTGCAGGACGGTTTTGGAGCCGAGCCAGTAGATTCTTCTTCTTTTAACAGTGTCTTCAGTTCCCCTTGGTTGCTTGGTGGCTGTGGCAGGTTCTCTGCCACACCCACCGTGGCCTGTTTGGCACTTCTTTTGTCGCCGTCTGCTTGTTCCCCGTGTACATACTTCATTTGCCTGTGATGGTGCAGGAGAGAAAATTCTCGTGCTGGCAGAGGGAGGAGAAGTTCCACATTGTGCCTCTGGTTGTTCCTAGTGGAGGAGCAGATCCGCCGTAATGCTCCTTGCGGTGCCAATTTCAGGACTTCGTCCACCGGTCTGCACCAGTGATGGTGACCAGCGTGTGCGCAGAAGTCCACCGCTGTTCTGTACTGTTGGGCCGTTCTTGGGGTTTCTCTTTACTGGGACCATTCCTTGTATTTCTGATTACGGGCAAAACAGAAACCTAGAGGAATGGGAAGCCAGCATTTGGATCGGGGCAGGGGAGAAAACAGATCTCCAGAAGTTCTGGACTCCAGCTCTCAGGTCCCGTGGCCACCAGCATGGGCAGTGGCCAGGATCTGAGGTCCAAAATATCAGGAAATTTGCTTTCTGCCCACTCCTCACCCAGACGAACTCTTGGCCTCCACAGAGTGACTGCTGCTTCAGCCCCTCATATGCGCTGGGCTCCCTCCCAAAGTTCTGGACTGCAGTTGGCACTGTCTCCAGCCAGCCTGGCCATGGAAACCAGTCCCAACGCATTTGGAAGGCGGGAGGCTGGTGGATACCTGTGGAAAAATGCCTGGACTCGTGTGCAGCTTGCTCTCTGGGGAGGAGGGCTGCGCCAGTGCCCAGTCCCCTGTGAGCAGACAGTCCTTGGAAGCGGAACGATACAGAGAAATGGCCCGTGAGTTCTGTGCCCGGTTCTGTCCAAACGGGGCTAGGTGTCTTGATGAGGTGTGGAGGCAGATAGCCAGCTCTTCCGTCCTCGAATGGAAGGGGAGGCCCTCTCCGAGCCTGGTAGGGAGGAAGCTTTGCGAGTTGGGATCACAACCATGGGGGACAGAGACAATGGGTTCGATTAGCAAAACGGTGAAGCTGAAGTACCCGATAGGCCATCCAGGAAGAGAAAATGCCATCCAGGGCCTCTGTTGTGTATGTGTGCATTCGTTTTTTTCCTTTTCTCTATTCAACTGCCAGTTGACTAACCCAAATGACTAATCCTATGTGACTTTTGCAGTGTTTTCCGTTTGACTGGGGTAGGCCTGATGCCTTTTAGGGATGTTCCGTTATCCAGAGTTGAACATGTATTGTCCAAAGACCGTAGCAGATGAGGGTTTTTTGGGGGGGCGGGGAGGGACTGGCACTCTCTCCCTGTCCCCTTCCCAGGATCCTTCTGGAAATACAAGCTCTGGGCCAGGCATGGTGCAGACTCCCAGCTCAGTCAACCCAGTACTGAAGGAGCCTTTTCGTTGTTGAAAATTTATATGTAAACATGTGTCAACTTAGGTGCATTTCAACGTTACTTTTATTTTGTGTTTCTGAATTTTTGCACTATAATGGGGTGGGGATATGAGCAATACAAGCCAGTGTATAAAATTAAAAACATGTTTTTCTGGAATACTGTGATGGCATTCTTTTGCTCTCTCCTTGATTTTTAGCACTGGGTACACAAACAGAGCTGTGGTGTTCAAGAGAGGTGAAATGTCTTCCAGCCCACCCAGGCCAAATTCAATTTCATCTCTGTGGCCAAATTCCCATCTTGAGCAGGGCTGAAGGAAAAGGTCAAGATTCCAAGAATACCAGCATATTTTCGTTTGAAACTCATCCTTCCTGCAGCTAAACCTTGGGAGACACATTTTTTCCTTTTTGGAGTGGGGGGAAACATACAAAAGCCAGCAAATGACCACATAATCAGGGTGGGGAAGGGGAGAGCAATCTCTGGAGCCTCAGAAGGGCTACCAGTTCAACATCCCTGTAGTGACAACTTGAATTCATGCTGCTTGGTCCAAAATGGTCCTTTTTCACTCGTGCAAACACACAACAAATGAGGCCTGCGATCGATCCAGGACTGTTCCCTGACGCATAAAATAAACCCTACCCAAGGCCTGAGTTTTTGCTTCTTCCCAAATACTCCAATTTTCTGTGTGCAAAGATACTCTTTCTCAACAAAGTTAGGGAAGCAGCCAGCCATGCAATCCCCCCGCCTGCCGCCTGGTGGTTCCAACTGGCAGCATCTGTGAACAGCGGGTACCACCCAAGCTTCCTCTGCGGAGTACTCTGGTGTTTTCCCAGGGCCAAAGCAGTTCTGCCGCATTTTCATCTGCACCCGTTTGTGCTTGAAGCGCTCGGAGGTGAGGTGCTGCAGGGCCCCGTGCTGCACATGCCAGCAGAGGGCGCCCTCATACCCCCATTTAAGCTGTTCCAGGGTGCAGGAGGAATCGCTGAGGACGGCAAAAAAACCAAGGATGTACCTAAGTGTGCAGCAGGTCTGCTTCAGAAACGCCTTTCCTTTGATTTGATGGTACGTTTTTGCGGCGACGTGGATGGCCGGGCAGTTCTCGCCACACAGCCCTTTTCTCCTTCTGAAGGAAGGTGTGAGACAATGCGAGATGCCTGGTTGAAGGTGGACAGAGTCCTGCTGCTTCTCAGCTCCGCTCCACTGAGGAGGGACTGCAGTTGTGCGATGGGTGTTTCATGCTCGCTCACTGGAGTGTTGTCTGGTTTCATATCCTCATCGGAGAGTTGGACGGGGCCAGAGAGCCAACGGGTCCAACCCTGTGGTCAGGGCAGGCCTCCAAGCCAAACCGGCCCTTGCAGGTGGCTGTCCAGCCACACCTTGAGTGCCACCAGGGTGGGAGAGCCCACCGCCTCCCAGGCCATGGCTTCCACGGAGTCCCAAGAGGGCGTTCACACAAATGGAGGAGAGAAGCGCTGGGTGCTTCCGTATGAGGAGAGTAGAAATGGTGGGGCTGGTGCCCTGTCGCGCTTGCCACAGCACAAGGCCCAGGGCGGGGGGCAAGGACGGGTAAATTTGAAACTGCAGGCAGCCCCCATGTCGCCTAAGAATGGTTCAGAGCTCCAGGCATCTGTCGATCCATGTCAAGAAGTGCCTGATCCTGCCCGATCTGGGGAGCTAAGCAGGGTCAGGCCGGGTTAGAATCTGGATGGGAGACCCGGGTCCCGCATTGAGCAGGGGGCTGGACCAGATGGCCTGCAAGGCCCCTTCTCACTGGATGACTCATGTTCGTCTCCACGCAAAGGAGGCCCTGCATAAAGCACACCTCCCAAAATATTTTGCATCACAACAGGGAGCAATAAACTCATTTCCCTTCCGGCTAATCCTGTGATGGCTGCAGGGAAGCTCAGAAGGCCCTGCTGTGGAAGAGGTGCCCATGCGGCATCCCAGTGGGCCCTGCTGTGTACCTACGGCAGCAACGCTCTCTTTCGTAAAACGACTTGTGCCCGCGAAACCAAGCCAGCCCCCAACATAATGTTGCTGGAAATTTTAATTTTGCCCCGGCGGCTGTGTGCACTGCCACGTTAGCTTAAAGGGAAGCCTGATGGGGCCGGCGCGAGAGGGCAGTGTCCCCACGAGGGAGGAAGAGCCAGTGCTGCGTCCCCAGAAGCCTTTCCTTGGCCACAGCAAGGCACAGAGCCGAGGGCCCAGGAGCTGGAGGGATGGCGCCAGTGTTGGCTAGAAACTAGGAGTTTGCATTTTCTCCTCTTCCTCTTCCATGAGAGAGCACTAAGGCACAGAGAGGAAATTCCCTCCCATCTAACCTGGGGAGGTGGGCCCTCCAGGTGCTGTCAGACTACAGTCCCCATCACCCCCAAACAACTCTAGCATGTTTTCCAGGCATGGATAGCGGTGATAAGCCCCCCTTGGGTATCTCCGACTAGCGAATGCTTTGCACCAATGGCTTTTTACCCCTGGGAGGGGGGACAAAAAGCATCCTTTTGTGGCATTTCCTCCTTTGCCCCGAGACGGCAGCATGGATCTGCTCGCTCAGGCGGGAGCCGCCCTGCTGAGTCTGTTTGGCAGAGAGGAAAAGCAGCCCTGGGTCGGACCAGCCGGGGCTTCAGCAGCTGCTGTCTGTCAGGCTGCCTTCCACAGAAAAGAGCTCGGTTGCTCCATGGGGGGGTGGGCGTGGGGGGCGAGCAGTTGGTCTGAGGCGGGGCGGGCAGGGAACAAGCTTGGCCCTCTCTGTTGGCTAAAGGGGATCTTTTCGCCCTGGCTGTGAAACTCTGTCTGGGCCTTTTCTAGGAAACCCAGGCTGGCCGTCATGACAGCTCTCATAACGTGCGTCCAGGTCCCACAGAATGATTCCTTCAGGCTGCTCTGTCCCTCCCAGGCAGTAAAAAAAACACCTATAAGGGCTCATAACTTTAATAATGATACTAATAATTACGTCTTCATATGACCAGGAAGACCCCAAGTCAGATTTTAGCTTTGGCCACAAAGTCAAGGAGGAGCTTGCCCCAAGGGGCTAGCGTGTCACAGCCTTGGTCACTACCGGCTGTGCTATAGGAAGAAAAGCACGGACTGCCTTAATGTTGAGAATGATTAACGCCTGTCCTGCTTTGCTCATTTGCTTGCTTAACCTAATTAGGATTGCAGTGAGCTCATTATGAAGAATAATAATGCATATATTCAGAGCGCATGGAACACTTTTAAAGCAGTATTTAATGCCACTCCTTTGATGTGTGTGGGTGTATGCAAGGCTTATTTGGATTGAGATTCTTTGTGTATTTCAAACACAAGGCTTAGAATCGTAGACTTGGAACGGGGGGTCAAAGATCATTTGGTTCGACTTGTTGGCAATTCTGCCGGACGACCAGCGGTGCTTGCAGACCGGCAAAGAAGAGGGGTCCTTTGGGGGGGAACAAAAGCATGCTACTCTCGCTCCTAAAAGTTTTTGGCTATGTGATGCAGGAAGTGGGCTTACATGAATTTATCCCTCTTGCTCCATATGGCCAGGAGTGCAGAACCACAAGCCCCAGGGCCGAATCCAGATTTCCTAACTTCCCAGTCCAGCCTTCCAGAAGGACACGCTCCTTCTTCTCGAAATCCAGCCATTACGTGATATAGTTTCTCCCCAGTTGAAAAGGGTGAAATGCTTCTCCCTACCAGAGACATTCCTACCAGGAGAGCTTAAAACTGCAATGTGATGGGGGATCCTTGGCCCCTACCCTTCTGGCTCCAGCCCAACCTACCAGTGGCCTGCGGCCTGCAAGAGCATCTTGAAAACAGAACTCGGCCCCCAGACTGAAAAAGCCTGCATGCCCTGAGTCCTCACAGCCTGCAGTGGCTCCCCAGAGCTTTGAACAGGGGCTGAACCAGAGGGCTTGTCTAGGCAGAGCGAGCGCCTCCACGACCAACCTGCAGCCCTTCCCTTTCACAGGGATGGGAGAGAGGAAGCATGGACTGTGGGGAGGGATGGAGAGAAGCTTTGAGTCTGCCTGAGGAGAGCCAGCAGGGGCCTGCACAGCGGGATCCGTATTCTTTCCCTCTTCACTAACCCGCCACCTGAAAACACCGCATCTAAACCGCATCCCAATTGCTGCTGGAAGACCCGTGCGGACACAGACGCGGCTTGTGTAAGCGATGCTCGGGGACGTGCAAATGTGGGACAGGGTCAGGAGAATATCCTTTCTCCACACAGCCTCCCACCTGCTCCACATTGCTGGCCAGCCCCTAACTCCAGTCTCGGATTTCTATAAATAAACCGGAGAGGTTTTCCAAGCACAGAGTTTTTCCACGCATGGAGCCCGTCTGCTTGCTAGCCCTGTTTAAACAAAGCACGGGCCCAAAGGAGGGGCCTTCCTCCTCACCACCATTTCCCTAATTAAAATCCCATCCTGCAGGCTGATTGTTTGCCCAGCGGAGCGTGTGCAGCAGGGCAAGGGAAGGGACTTCCAGCGTACTGAATGCGCCCTGCTGAAGACCGTCCTTGCAATGGGTCCTTCGGTCCCAGTTGCCACTGCCTGGGCCATCCCACCAGCCCTGCTGCAAGTGTTGATTTTTCCCCTCTACCCTCCCCATTTCTTTTTCCTTGTGAGTCGTGCCTCTTTAGATTGCAAACCTTTGAGCAGGAACTGTCTTGTCTGACTAATCTTACGGAAGCTGCTCCAGGTGCCCTGTTGACTGAGGGGTGAGGTAAAAACATTTTAAGCATCTGTGCCATGTATTTCTCTAGCTTTTCCCCAAGTCCAAGGCCCACACCCATCACGATCTCCACCTAAACCCTCAAAGAAGCAGAAGCATCCAGACGGGGTGCAAAGACAGAGTGGTGGGTGGAAGATCCATTTGTGTAGCTATTTATCCACTCTATAGCCTGCATTTCTACCAGGAAATAGCACCCAAGGAATGAAACAACCATAAAATCCATCATTTAGAAGTAAAACATAACTACAACAAGAATTAAAACAAATGCATGAAGAGCACAATTCACAGAACGGCCCCGTAGTTGCTTGGCAGTCTCTAGGTGGCCACAGCATTTTTCAGATTCCCAGCTATAAGGCTGGAAAATTGCTTTGGCCTCATAGTGGGGATCCACAGCTGGTGCGGAAGGAACTGTGCTGGCTGCTTCTAGGAGGTTGTAGGAGTGACCTTGGAGAAGGGCTTTTGGTGGCACTCTGAGGCGGGGAAGGCAGGACACCGGGACAGCACAGGGCAACACATTCTGGAGACGCCTTGAGTCTCCTTTCCTCCTGCTCCGAAGCGCCACATTTAGGCAACAGAAATCTGCTGTCTGAACGCTCTGCACGGAAAGAGGAGCACGAAGATCGCCATCACTTCTGTGCGGGGTGGGAGGGAGATCTTCCTCCCACCCCGCACAGGATACCCATAATCCTCTGAGTGCAGAGGCTGATGGGCACCCCTGTCAGATGGCACCCTAAGCACGAATAAAAGCAGAGAGGGACTGCCAGAGCCTGGGAGCACCCACCAAGAAGGCCCTGTTTCGTATCCCTGCCAAATGTGCCTCCGGGGCCCTAAATCAGAGCACTCTGCGCTGTGAGATTTCGTCTCTGCTCAAGCTTGTCCTTAACAAAGAGCTGCCGGCAGTTCTGTGCTGCACTGAGATCAGGCAACCCAATGGCAAAGCGTCCCACTGGCCCGCCTGCATCAGCTTGTGTCTCCGAGGCTGCATTTCCCCGTGCTTAGAAAGCTCCTGCTTCCTGCTCCAGCCAGGACTGAGACATAATGGCTTGTGAGACGCGAGCGAGGCACACCGGATGAGAGAGATACCCAAGTGAGTCAGCTGGAGGGATGGGCTGCCCACACTTTGATTCACGCTCTCATTGGGGACCTTTGGATATTTGACGGAGAACGGATGGAAACCGGCCCACAGGATGTTGCTCTAAGTTTTCCAAGAAGTGCACAGAGAGAGGGTGAGCAAAGGGAGGGGCTGGAGGCGGGCCATGGGCAGGTCCGGAGTCATTTTAGGGAGAGAGTCTGGCGTGCAGCCTGGCTGACTTACAGTGATCACAACCAGATTTCAGGCTTGACCAGGGTGGGGGTCAAGGTTAGGTGTGGTTGCGCTGCAGCTGAAACACCAACTCCAGCAGGGGCCCACCGGCCAGGTTCCTCTGGGGCTGCGCCTTCTCCCTGCCACTGCAGCCGGCTTTTCACCAGCCTCTCGCTCTGACCCAAACATGGTTGGTGGTTAGGAAGAGGACAGGGGGATACGAGGCACTTGTGTATGTCCAGAGTTCATTACAGTCCACACATGTAGAATTAAAGAGCCACAGTTTCTCCGAGGGCCCCTGGCAGAGGCTCCATGGAGATTTCGCTTTTAAAAGTTAAGCATGACCCTGACCACCAAGGCCCACTGAAAATGCAACTCTTTCTATTCCTGCTGTTTGGGTTGATGGGAGATGCGGCCAAAACCTCTGGGGAGCTCACCCCTGTCTTACAGCACATAGCGCCAGACTGCACTTCCCTCCCACCCCTCCATGTTATATCATGTTCAATCTGATAGGCTTTGTGGGCACAAACCTGGCACCCTCTCTCTCTGGCAGCTTCGCATTCAAAGTTAGGCATGGGCAAATGCCTATACAATGGGGTTACTTTCTACAGAGCCACACCGCTAAGCTACTTGGGCTGACAGAAGCGACCCGAGATGTCAAGCAAGGGGTTCTTCAGTGGCCCATTACGGAACGATTGCTACGGAGAACCTCGCACGCCTCAGTTGAATAACGCCTGCGGCCGACGTGGCTAGAAATGCTTTGAAGAATCTTTTCGAAATTCAGGGCACGGTGGAAAAAGTGCAACCTTTTCACAGGTTTTTTGGTGTGGCTAATCTTCAGCAGCAAGGTTTGTTTCAAGGGTGGATGGAACTAAGCATTGGAAGAGGCATGAGAACGGGCAAAGTGCACAAAAGCTGGGAAATGGGATGGAACGTGGAGAAAGGCCATGGCAGACCTGCAGGCGGCTTGATCGGGCTTGTTGGCCTGAGATTCGCTTCCGCATTTTAGACCTCTAGTACCATTTTAGACCTGTGAGCTCTTAGAGCGCATGCTGTCAGGTTAGGAAGGATTAAGGCTCAGGTCGGCTTCTGCTGAGGCTCTGCTGGGGACGAGACTCTTGCTCAGCAAAATGACCTGCCTGCAGAGGGGATGCTACAGAACAGTGACGGGTGCAGAAACACACGGGGTGGGCAGTGGCTTTTCTGAACGTTAGCGATGCCGGTTTATTCAGGAGTTACCGTTATATGAGGCTTCGGCAAGGGGCGGCATAGAAATGTTCTAATAATAATAATAATAATATGCTGAAGCAGTCGTGTGCATCTTAGGCTTCGACTTAGATCTTAGATTATCTCCACAAGGGTTTATATCTTTTAGAGCAATGTGTTTTCCCACAATAGGAAAATAGCGCACACTGACTTTCCTAAATGCTTGCTCTATGCATGGAGGAAGCTGCCCGTTGTAACTCTGTATGAGTGACCATTCTGGGCGTTGCCTCCTCAAATCGGCTTTCATTAGTGGAAAGCAGATCATTCCACAGCTTCTCTTCAGCGGGAATGCTTAGAACCTGCGCTCACTCGGGAACAGAAAGGTGGCCAGTGGAACTGCACTTCAGAAGAAGCAGTCCATTGCATCCGTGTGTTCTGGCATTACCCCCTCGCAGTCAGGAGGCGGCCCAGAAAGGGGACTTATGTGGAAAGACAGGTGGGAGCTCCATGCCAGGCAAGGGTTTCCCCACCAAAATCAACAACAACAAAAAAGTCTTATCTGCTCTAAAAGCGAATGCTTAAGAGGAGCATTTGCTAGATCAGACCAGAGGGCCACCTCATCTAGCACATGTTTTAGGACATTAATGTACTTATTTATTTGTATTTAAGATTTTTAACCCATCTTTCAGGGGGCCTGGCTAGTTTGCAGTGTATGAAAAACCATGCAAATTACAGCAGAAATAGCTCATGACTTTGAAGCCCCAGATGGAGACAGAATGAGTGTATTTCAATTTTGCTTTGCTTTTAAAAGGCAGGAGGGATGAAGTAATGAGACGTGGGATGTTCGGGTTTGGGACTGCCGTAAAGAAACCCATCTCTCTGACCTGCCCTGTGAATGACATTTGCTTATGGGACAGGAAATGGAGCCTCCAACCCAGATCTTAATGCCATGGTGGGCTTATACAAAGCCCTTTGGACAATGCGGTCCCAAACCATTTGGGGCTTCAGTGGCCAAAACTAGCCGCTTGAACTGAGCTTTCTTCCATTATTCTTCCAGCAACTGGGACTGAATGGTATACGAGCATTATAACAACCTCACAGGCCTCACTGGTAACAACCTCACAAGGAGGTTCCAAGGAGCCCTTATCAGGACTAAAAGGTCAACCAGCGATACCTGACTTTCTTTCTGTTTTTAAGCGTGCCTTGCAAATATACACTCATATAACTATAAAATTCAGCATGCTTTAAATAATGACGTACACGCATGTTCCCAACTTTCTTAGGTAGTGCATTTTTAAAATTATTGCTCGATTGTTTTCTTGTTATTATTTGCAAACTGCCTTGTGAAAAATTAATTTCTAAAAGGCAGAGTGGACCTGAGTAGATAAAAGTGAATAGACCACCCCAGTGATTTTCCTGGGGGGCCACATTACAGCCAAGTTACAGTGCCATCTTATGCATGTTCGGACAGAGAAAAGTCCCATGTCTTACTGGGCCTTAATTGCTTCCAGCTGCTCAAAATCGTTCTGAATATGTGCATGTTTTAATCCTTGCTGTATCTAGCTCTGTTTGCAAAAGGTGTACCGTCAGTCTGGCAGATTCTGGCGCAACGCGGCCCTCCTCGCGGGCCTGGGCTGTTGTTGTTGTTGTCGCCCTCGCTGAAGTGCCTGGAGAGCGCCGGAGATTATCCCGGGCGCTCTTGAGAGAGCTGAAGGGCTCGCCTGCGAAGGAGGGGCAGGGGCCGCCGCTCGGGCTGCGTGCGTCGCCGCGGTGCGCCCTTGCGCGCTCGGGTCCTCCGGGGGGAAGTGCGCGCCCAGCAGCGAGCGAGCGAGCCGCCAGCGCTCGGCCGGGAGGCTGCCGATTCGCCGCTCACACCCTTGCGAGTCACCCTCGCGGACGGAAGTGCGGAATGCCTGCCTGACACACTCGGAGAGTGCACACGCCTCTCGGTTCGCGTGCTCCGTCTGTGCGCCGGAGTCCTCTCCCGGAGCTTTCCTTTTTTTCGCTCCGGGCTCCCTCCAGCTGTGCCCGGATTATACCAGTCGCTCTGAAGATGGGGAACATGGCTTGTGTTCCCCAGGCACCTGGGAAATTCAGATATTCCTTCTCCAGAAAGCCCTCGCTCAGGAAAGAGTGAGTATGCGTCGCCGGGACCTCTGGCTTCGTGAAGCCCTCTTCGCTCTTTGTGTCTCTGTCTCTCGCACCCTCTCTGGGTTTTTCTTGTTTTCTTTAAAAGGAAAGCCTTGCTTTGGGGACAAAAAAAAATTGAGGTGCCCTCGCAAGGCGTCTGGCTTCTCCCAGGCGCTGGCCGTGTGCCATTTTCTGGGGATTTAGAAGGACCAAATGTTTCACGAACTTGACACTTCTCAGAGGAAGGGTTTTGGGTGCTGGTGCAGTTCCTAAAGATCAAGGAGCGGGCAACCTACTTTGTTTCTGTCTCTATATGCTGTTGTGTGAGTTCCCTTCCCTTCCCCCATCCGCTTGGGGTTCTAGCTCTGACTGCATAAAATTGCTTTAATTTAAATTATTTAAAATCTATTCTCCCTTGGGATTAAAATAAAGGCAGCCTGCAAATATCTCAGTGGGTAGCACTCTGACGATGCCTGTTTGCTCAGAAATCGGTTGCGGCGTTTCTGATGGGGCTTGTTCCCTAGAAGGTGTAGTTAGAACTGCATCCTTAAATTGGCTGATAGCCGGTAACCATGCAAGTACTTTTCAGTGCAATGCGATTTTTAAAAATTAACTTCTTGAATGCAACATTTCATATTACTGTAGTTGGTGTTGGAAAGACAGCCCCTTTCGCAGGACTTGACTGTCTCAGAACTTTATAATCTGAAATTGTGGTGGTATGTTTCAATTAGTCCTCTATACCTAAAAAGCAGGCTCTGTAACTAAAGAAAGATTTGACACCTTTTATATAGGAAAAGAAGAACAAAATGAAGCAGTTCTAGAGAACTGAATAATAGAGGGGTGGAAATTTTTTGTTTCGTTTTGTTTTGGTTTCTTAATTTTTGCCTTCCCAGAAAATTTTATGATCACGCAGAGCAAAGTCTCAGTGAATTTCATGTGACTTGCTCTGAGGTAAATGTGCATAGGATTGCAGCGAAGGGAGTTTATGTCTTGGCCCTTTCCTACACATGCAAGGAAAGGCCATCCAACTAAATGTAGATGGCTGAGCCCTTCTCTCTTTGTGGTGTGCATGCACCATGAAAATTGGGTCTTGCAACACCTTTAGTGGCTAATAGTTTTATTGCGGCATAAGGATCCACGGACTAGAGCCCACTCCATCCAGTGACACGGGCATGAAACCACACCACAATCAGTCTCACTACCTTTTTCTCTCTTTTTTTGTGTGGGTGTCTTCCATAGCAGAGCTTGGCACGATCACCCTCCAGAATTTGACCCAGTCAAATTAATTGCTTGCACTCGGTATGATAAACATGCAAGGCCCACATACAAGCCTTGTGCCATTTCCTGCACTGGACCTCTCTTTGTGCCAGCATAGCATCTTGTTTTGAGGTGTGGGCTTTGTCTGGATGCATATGTGGGTCCCCCAGGCCACCCCTAATGCCCTGCTCTAGGCACTGCATAAGGCTACGTTTAAAAATCGAGCCTTTGGCGATTTGAAAACTTCATGACAATGATCTTGCTTTTAAAGGCTGTTGCACAAGGATCGCAGAGCTGGAGCAGGTATACAAGTGGAAGCTTGTCCTTCAGGTGGCCCGCATGGCTGTGGATCACGCCTGGCTTCATCTGGCTGCTGATTATGGGGTGCTTTCCTGGCTTTTGTGCCCTTCCCCCAAACCATTCTGAAAGGCTGCGTTTCCTTTCCCTGCTCAGGCTTAGGGGCTGGTGCTCATAACTGCAGCTCAAAGGTGCCAGTGCTTTTGGCTCTGCCCCGGTGCTGTTCGACCCATTTCACTTGCCTTCAGTCCAGTCCACCCCTGGAACGTAGGCTTCTGCAAATCGAGCTTGGCTCTCAGACGGACATGGGTTGGCTGGCCCCTGCACTAAGGGCACCTTCTCTCCCTGCCACCCTGGCCACAATCTGGTTTTAGAGAGTTCCTGCAAGGTTGGACCCACTGGCTGCCCCTGTCTGTGGACTTTTAGGTGCCAGGATGGCTGGGATAAATGCTGCTAATTCAACTGTCGGTTTCAGTTTTCTGGGTAACTTAGGGATCTGGGCGTTCTTTACCCAATGCGTATATGCTAGAACCCCAACAGACAGGAACCCTAGCATGGAGTGTAAATGCACAAGAGTTTAGAGACCGTACTGGTGCGTACACAGTGTGAGCATCGTGGCTATTGATACATGCATAACATTCAGTCTTGCACATGGTAATGATTGCACAAATTCAGAGGCCTCCTGGATTTTGCAAAAGGGAGCCATGTGTTGAAAGAGCACTTGTGGGCCGGTGGAGCCCCTTGCTCACAGTCCGGTGCAGTCTAGCCCAAGTTGAATGCTGCTCCATACACACGAGGCTCTTGTGTGGGTTGTTACATTTTGGTGGCACTGAAGTGGGCAGTTACAAAACAGCAGATTGATGGAAGGAGCTTGAGAAGCACCGAGAGTTCCCATTCCTCCTCCAGAAAGGAACTGAAACCAGCGGACAGCCAATTGCAACAGCAAAGATCACCGTTAGCGTCAGAAAACAGTGGGGCAGGAGCACAGGAAGGAAAAGCCTGGTCCGGCTGCAGCTCACGCTTTGGGTTACCCTCCCAAGTGGGGCACGATGGTACATACCACAAGCGTAGGAAAAACGCTGTGGCATGTGAAAGGAAATCAAGGTGACTGCAAATATACCGCAGAAAACGGTTTCGACCTGAGCATGTTTGTCCCCAGTTTCTTCGGACTGATGTTTTGGACGGTTGTTGTGAACCATTTTCTGATGTATTTGCCCGCATTTTATTGCTTTTGACTTCTTGTTGGTTTTGTCGCCCAAGAAATAGCATGCAGAGCGCAGTGAGGCTGGGTGCGTTGCAAAAAATTCAGAGAGGAACAACAGGTGGCCATTCTCTTTGCTTTGTTCTGAGTTGTGAGTCATTCCACTGAAGTCAGCTGATTTATGCCACCAGACAGGATAGGAAAGCGAGGAAGGATTGGCCATATGTCCAATTTTGTCTGGGGAGTGGGGAAGAGAAGGCCCAGAAAAAAAACCTTGAGAATGTTGGGTGGGGAGGGGGACTTTTTTCAAACTTTTCCAAACAGTTTGGAAAAAAATTCAGGAAAAGAAAAAGAGTGTTTTTTCGGAATTTTGGGGGGTTGTTTTGGGGCTTTCGCCCCTGGCATGTGGCCCTCGAGAGCTTCAGCAAAATGGAATTCGGCCGTTGGGCTGCAGGAGGTTCCACACCCCTTGAATAGACACACGGATGCAGGAGGTAGGTAGGGCCTCTGTTAGTGGCCACCTGCTTGAAGTGTCACTCCCTAAGTGCAGAGGAAACCTCTTTCAGGTGCCTGTGTCGGGGATAAGCAGGGCAAGGTCTGTGGCATCTGCGGACCCTGAAGCCCTTTTGCTGACCAATGACAGAAACAGAACGCTGGATGTGGCTGGTGGCAGTTTTTCTGGCAGTGGTGCAGCTGGGCTGGAGTCTGGTGCTGTTCACCAGGGCTGGACCTACATACCACCAGGCAGAGTGAGACAGCTGCTGCAGGCTGCAGGCACTGGCAGGCAGCTGCCAGGGGCTGGGAGAGTGAGCCGTGTGCTGTGTGGCCTACCTCTCACCACTAGGGTGGACTGCTGCCTTCAGGTGCAGCAGAGGAAGCCATCTCCAGTGCCAAAGCGCACTGGTTCAGGGAATGTCTTTTGTGGCTGCTTTTGTTCGATTCAGAGGTGGCAAATGGATGTTTGTATTTTGCTTGAAACCCTGTGGGGATTGTCCAAAGCACCATCTCAGGGCCCCGGAGAGCAACGAAATGTTGTGAACTTCACAACTGAAATAATACACGTGGCCATCCAGAGCCTCCCGCCGGCCCCTCTGCCCTGCAGCCGTTAAGTCAAGGGTCTAGAATTTCCTGGCCATGTCCCACGGCTTACCTTACGGACTGCTCTGCTTCACATTTGCCACGGGCCCCTCCTCCCCGTGCAGCCCAGCTTTTGGCAAGGGCTTCTTGCACACAAGACGCTTTACCCCGATCCGACCACGGGCCCAGGATCCCCATTTTGTGTTGTGGCAGCACAGAGAAGCAGGGAGTGGCGGACTCCGCCCTCCAGCAAAGCTCCCTGCCCATACCCAATTTCCTGCAGGGGGGCAGTCCCGATAAACTTCCCAGGGAAAACCGCTGGGACAGATGAGGCCCTTTGGTCTGACCCTGCAAGGGCTTTTCTTACGCTGCCGGGTTACTTGGCATTTCCTACACAGACAGTGGCTTGCAGAAGAGCAAGAGTTGCTACCTTGCAGGCGTCCTTTTAACTAGCTTGGTCTGAGGCACATGGTGCCTGTTTCCATGCCGGCCGTGGAGTGGAGTGTGGCTCTTTGATGGCCTGCGTGGAAATTGGCCTGCATGGCAAGTTTAAACAGGGAGAGGGAGAGGGAGGGAAAAATCCTACTAACAGGTTGCAGGGGGATAGATAAGGGACTCCGTTTTCCTTCTGGCAGCCTGCTGCATCCTCGTGCGGAATGCGGAGTAAGAAATTTCCCTTTGTTTGCAGTGAGCTAGATGCCCAGCGGGGAGGAGGAGCAGAAAACGCAACGGCTATTCTCCCCTGTCCCCCAAGAATGGAAGGTGGGCTCGTCCTGCCCTTGCCTCTGCTGAAACAGATTTCCCATGGATCTATAAATGTGCAAGCCCAGGCACTCTTCCGTACGGCATTCCTGGTTGCCCGTGGTGACCAGGGTGTCGTATTAAATACGGGGCTGCGTTCCATATAGATGTGTTGTCCCATTGAAGCACGGCCCGGGAGCGCTATCTCGCGGCCCCGGGATCCATGTCGAAAGCAAGGTGTGACGTACGTGTAATAAGTACGTCTGTGAAATGCAGAGAAAGGTGTCATTAGTGCAAGGGGGCAGCCAAGCTCTCCTCTTGACACTCCGCTCCTCCATCAATGGGGCATCGCAGCGTAGCTGGTTAGCAGTGTCACCCAAGCAACAGGCAATTTTTATGTGGTAACACAAATTGTATAACTCTTCCCCGAGGGACATGTTTCAACAAAACTCAGTGTCAGGAAACTCTCAGAATGGTATCTTATGCTACAGTACACGCATCCCTTGATTTAGGATTGCATTTGAAAAAAAGCATTTTTTAAACATGCACTTTAAGAAACACTCATTTTAAAACAAACATGTTTCCACACTTTGGTCAGTGGAGGGAGAGAGGGTGCATTTGGGGGGGGGGGGTTCTGTGAATTGTTTCCTGTTCAAACAAAAAGAAAAGCAGATCATAAACCGAACTTATGGTGTTTACCAGTAAGCTGCAGGTGGCCTGGACAGCTCTGCAGTTAGAGGAGCGACCTCTGTGAAGGGGATACGTGTCCACCTGTGAGCCTGGACTTTCTGCCTTCAAAGCCCAGCAGCACTGGGCATGCATGGAATACGAGAAAGGCACTCTGCACATGGTCCAGCAGCAGCAGCTGCAAGTGCCTTTGGGGAAGGGATTCCAAGGCTCTGAATAAAGGTCAAACAAAAGCCCTGATGCTGGATCAGACCCAGCGTCCAACTAGTTCTGGTTGCACAGTGGCCCACGGGAGGCCAACTGGCATGGACCATAACTCTTTGTCCGAGTCCCAGATTCAGTGTCTAGGTTGGGTTGCGGATGACTCCCATCTAAAGGGGGAAGAGCGGCCACCAGGACGCTCAGGCCAGTGCTAAACCAGGGGAAGGCGCAGTTTGGATTGGGTATTGGCTCGCTTCCTATTTCAGCTGCAGTGATGGTGTGGCATCAGGAAACGCGTGCGCTTTAAAGAGAGAAGGACAAGTGGATACCTGGTCTCTGCACACCTGGTCTCTGCACACCTGGTCTCTGCACTGGTGATGCTCTTGCTGAACTGTAAAAATTAGAAAAGCAGACATGGATTAGCAAAGCGGTACTTTTCACCTTAACTCTGTCCATGGGCAGACAAAATCCTTCTAAGTTGTGAGACTATCTGTGGCAGGAACGCACCACGCATCCGTCTGTGGAAGGACAAATTTTAAAAACCAGAACTTCCAGGTCCACTAAGCCCCCTAACGTTCTTGAGCTCTGCTTGTTCATGAGGTCGTGACACGTAAGAGCCTTGTGTAAAAGCTGAGAGCGCCCACCCTGCTGCCCTCGGAAGGTGCTTTCCTCGATTCTCCTGTGCTGACCTGACTATGTTCCATGTTTATTCTTGCTTTGCAGACAGGAGAGCAAGAAAAAACTAGCCAGCCTCTTTGGTTTTGAACCAGGACAAGAGCGGGACGTCACCTCAGACAAGATTCTGCAGTATATCCCTGGAAAGGCAAGTGCTGTGAGGTTTTGTGGGGTGCCTGTCATAGTGCCAAGGATGCATGTTGTGCTTTTTGCCGTGCAACGTCTTGCTCGCGCACTTTATCATGGTCATCACCAGGTGAGATAGGTTCCTATTGTGTTGCTTTTACAGATGAGGTTCCAAGGCCGAGATACGGGATTTGACCAAGGTTATTTGCATAGTTTGTGGCTGGGGCGGTATAATACACATGCAGGTCTTCTCATCCCACATCTGAGTTGCTGGTACACTATAATATGGCATTCAATTAACACGCCGTGCCCCAAGGGATTCTGGGAGGTGTGACATGTCTCTATTAGAGCTCCTGAACCCTTATTTTCATTTCAGTCCTTTCGTTTCCATACTGCCAAATAGCTGAAGCTCACCAGGCAGCTTACAGACATTAAAGATGCATTATGGAAACCATACACATAGAAACTTATTCTTGTGTGACACACTGAATGAGACATAGGCATCTCTAAACATAATTTTAAACAGTCATCTGCAAGAAAAATGCAAGTCCAACGAAAAACCTCATCAAATGTATGAGAGAAGAAGGAAGTCTTAACCTGGCCCCGAAAGCTAAAATGTTGGCACCGGGAGGGTCATTCTGTAATTGGGGCAGGGTCACTACAGGGAAGGCCTTCTCCAGAGGAAGCCCTGCTGGAGGGTGGCCTTAGATGGCACCTTTAGTGTCTTGCAAAACTTCAGCTTCCATAGGCCTTCAGGGGGGAAGCCAGGAGGACTTTCCACCTGCTTCTAGTAGTAAAAGAATGTATTTTTCTAACAAAGCAAAACATTATTCTGGAACTCAATTGACTTTTAAGCCATTTAAAAACCTTTCAAAATATCACGCATTCAGTATTTTCGTGCAACCTACAGGCAGGGGCGTCTGCAGTGAAAGTGCAACGTGTCTGCCCATCGTCAGGGTGGCCGCAACATCTCTGCCGCGAGTAAACGCCAGAGCTGGTGAAGACCTGTAAGGAAAATTACTCATATCCGCCCTGGGAGACTCCTGGCCTGAGCCTCTTGAATGCAAATTCGGAACAGGGGCTGGATCTCCTCTGCGTGGAGGAGAACTCGTTTGGCACGCTGCATTTCCACGGGCGGAGCTGGTGTCCCCAACCTGTATATCTGGAGTTCTGAGTCCCGGCAGGTGGGGGAAAAGGGTGCTGCTCTCGCTGTTCTTGTGAAAGGGCAGAAAATGAGATTATGGATTAAGCTGATTCATCCTTTCCTGGGGTTGCACCCAGCCTTTTTTTAAGTATCTGGAAAAGCTGGTGCTCGTTAATTCTGTAGCAACACAAACACACACGTGAAAATAATTCCCGAACACCATTGTCACATTTTTCTGCCTTCAGAAATGTTGGGCGTCAGCACCCATGATCCTCTGCCAGCATGGGAAATGTTCAGGAATGCTGGGAGTTATAGTCCAAGCCATCTAGAGGGCACCGGACTTTTAAGGGCAGAGTGGGATACTGGGAGAACAGTGCTGGAGGCGTTTTGAAGGGCCAAGAGGCCAGGCAAGGCCAAACGTGACTCCTGGGAAGGATGAACCATTAGAGGAAGGTCTCTGTCCCCACTGGTCCCCCCGGTGAGCTACTTGCACAGGTGGGCCACGGGTGCGCTGCCACTCCACCCCATGTGGGGGCCCTTTCGTGTGGCACCCGCACAGCAGTGACATCCTGCATGAAGTGACCTCTCGCCCGCCATTTTTCATCTCCGTGTTTTATAAGCCAGAGCAAACGTTACACTTTGGAACCTGAAATGTTGCAAAACCAAGCAAGCTGAGTGACGGGGTGAGCGGAAAACCCATCAATTTTCTGTGTGGGTGTGTTTGTCTGGGCGGCAGCATTTATATGGAATAATTAGCATTTGTATGGTGCTTTAGTTGCTTGACATATATTACTGCTTCTCCTGTAACAGAGGGGTATCTATTATGCCTTTCTTTCTGGGGTGGGGGTAAGGTGGAGAGGATGGGGGCCGGAGTCCAAAATTTTGGAAGAGCACTGGGCTTGGCAAGTCTTGCTGAAGGCTACCGATTGGATGCGGGTGACTTTTTTGGGTCGACTGTGTGTTGTTGAACTGTGGGTTATTGTGTTGTCCAAACCCAGCTGCGCTAACAATCCATGGCCTGTTAATGCTCAACAACCCATGAAGAGAACCCATGGTCTGTTGCTGGGTTGTGAGTGAACTGTAGGTGATTCATGGTTTGCTAGTGTGGCTAGACTCAGATAATACAATAATGGACATTTATTTCTCGTAAGCGTCTCTAGCAATGGGTCAGAACTTCTTTTGGCTCCAAAGACCTGAAATCCATTTTGCAGAAACTCTCAGGGGACATATTCCACCACTGAGCAGGGATGAGGCAACAAGCCCCCCAAACAGCATATTTCCCCATGCAGCATTAATGCCAGCACCCCAGAACACCCCAGATGTCAGAAAAGACATCTCGGCATTTTAGAGTGGGGTCAGAACAAAACAAAAGAAAACCCTCTTCCCAAGATCCAGGAAAGCCCCAGATGATCTCTGCTTGGGGGAAGGGCAGGAAGCCTGGCTTTCTCAGAAACCTTGGAGCGACCAAAGACTTATACCTCTGGTCTGTTGGATTTCAGCCTGCAACCCAGACATGCTACTGCGATGCTCCATTTTTCAAATGATCCAGCTATTCCTGGTTTGCGGCCCCCAATCTTAATTGATGAATATTAGGATTGGTTGTAGGCTTCTTCCGTCCCCCAGCCCCATACACATGCTGGGATGCAGCATGAATTATCCCATTACATGTTATCACATTCTCTAGTCTGCATAGCCTGCAGTCCTGTACTTTCAGAAGTCATGTATGTATTGATCAGCTTCGCATGCTTCTCCAATAAACAAAGCTCCAGCAAGTGCCAGATAAAAAGTACCACATAAAAACACAAAAGCAAGGTGCAATTCAACAGCAGAGCAGAGTTCACAGCAGTCCAAAATGACATGCACATTTTAAAATGGGAGGGTCACACGACATTGATTATTCGAATGGCCCGAACGAACAGGGTTGTGTAGTGGTTATAGTTGTGGACTGGGGCTTGGGAGATCCAGTTCTAGTCCCCACTTGGGGAGCCTCATCCACTTGCTGCCGCTCAGCTAGCCTACCTGGCAGGACTGTTGTGAGGATACCCACCCATTTCACTGCATTTGGAGGGATCGCTCAAAGTTTGAGGAAGATCTTAGGGAAACATTTGCCTGAGACCAAGCCCCACCGAACATACTGGGACCTGCTTCTGGGTAAACACGCACCATGTTTGGGTTACTAATAATGCTCTCTAGTGCTCCACAGCATCCAAAATATCCGCACTAAGCTTGTGAGGATGCCCTAGATTTGTCCTTTCCACCCTGTTGCGAAAGGAAGACAGGATTCTTCGTACCAGGTGGTATGCCTGAGGCAAAGAGAAGAAAGAAAGAACGATCCAGGGAATTGCTCTTCCGCAGGGGCGGAACCCGACCCACACGGCCTGTGGGCTTTGACCAGGGCCCGGTACTTCCTGTCTCACAGTATTTCCCAAGTGGACCATATTCTGGAGCAGAAACATGAGGGCACCATGAGGAAAGAGCAGAAGTTTAGATAACAAATATAATTACTTCCCTAACTGCTTCATCTTCTTCTTTTTTTCAAAATCATCAAGGAGAGGCCCCCCTTGTGATGCAACTACTTCTCCGAAGTTGACATCCTCTTCACACACCAGCCATCACTGATGATTAAACTCTAAGTCACTCCATTCCCTTCTTGCTAAGTTCTGAGGGAGTTTAATTTTTAACTCGCCTCACCTATGCGCTGAGGTAGAGCAGCGCAAAACGTGTCAGTGCAAGTCCCGCTCACAGTCATCTCCCGGCTTTTCAAACCCCCGTCTCTCTTGCGAGGCGGTGCAAGCCCTGAGTGCAGTGAAAAAAGAGATCAAAACCTCTGCTTGGATTAATTGAGAGAGGGGCATGAATATGTGTCTGTGAGAAATATAAACAGCCTGGGGAGGGGGGGTGCTGAGTGATGAAGGGGGGCAACAAGATGCAAAACTCCAGTTTCTTTTACCTGTTTAGATCTCCAGCCAAATGTTTGGAAAGGGCCCTGCCTGAGCAAATTTGGGAATTGTTTCTGTCTTGAAATGTGGCTTGGCTGGACCTTTTCTTCCACCCTCTGGGCGCAAAAAACTAGAGGTTTTGAATCAATAGCCAGCTGTCCTGTGATGACCCGAAAAAGCATGCAGTTCAGGAGCGGGTCTGCAATGGCTGGACATGCACATGGCGGGCATGTCGTGAGCGGAGCCGGCTGGTGCCGGAGGTCAGACTAGATGGCCCGGGAGGCCCCTTCCGACTCACTCTGTTTCTCTGTTTCTAATGACACCCAGCCTTCCTGGAGTCGCCCAGTTGTCCCCAGAACTGCACCAGGCAGCCGCCCCTCTTTTTCCAGGCCGACTCCTGATCATTTGGTGTTTCCCAGTTTTCCCCCAGTACTAAAACACTAAATTAAGCCTTAATTGCTAACAACATAATCCAATGAGGCTGCTTATACCCCTCCAAACTTGGAGGGTTATGGGTACCCTATGGAGAGCGAAAGGAGTACAGTAGTGCAGGTCTGTGCTTTTTCTGCCCTGCAAAACTCGTAGATGACGCATTTGAGCTGTGTTTTGTCCTGAGCCTGAGGAGGGATGCTGCCACCCCACCCTCTCCCAGCTGGCCAGGACACCTATAAAACGCCATCTCCACCATCATCCTTGCAAGCTCAGGGTCCTTCCTTGCTGCAGGGTCGGAAGAAGGGCTCGCTGAGTTTGGAGCCTCAGCTCTGATCTGGGCTCTCCTTCGGCTTTCTAGATTCGGTCTTAAAGCCTAAGAGCTTTAAGCTGCTCCAAATGGACACAAGCATGCTTATTTGGTTATCTTTGCTGATGCTTATAACTGATAACAGTTAAATATATGCCGTTATATGGTGAGAGGGGGAGAGAGAGAGATGCTTTTATTGA